ATGGATCTTTGTTTTGAAAAAATGCTTTGACGGCCCTGGACCCGTAAGATTCTCACCTTACAGTTGCTATTCATGCTTCTACAGAGAACATCGAGGCAACCACTCATGTGTGTGGGGTCTTCTTCATGATCAAGACACAAAATTACCTCTCTAGTATTTATTTATTTGATCACATAAATATTGAGGCAAAGGGGGACCAAATACATGCGCGCCGCGAATGTCACTTGATTTGTGTGTGGGCTGTGATACTGCTCTCGTGCCCGAACCGTATAGTTTTCGTTTTCTTAGGGGGCCACTCTCCGAGCCTATGACCTGAGGGTCTAATCCGCAGCCTTAGGTAATGTAGTCCCATGGTAGCCGGTGTCCAACAATATGCTCATGCGCCATTTTCCCCCAGGATTATGGAAACTATGTGCACCATTGGTTTAGAATGAGGGATTTTCAACTCCTAGGTAGATCTGCAGTGGTATTGGGCCCTAACACGAGACAATATGGAAACTAGACATTCACTATTTAACTCTGGGAAATACCTAACGATGGATAAGGCGGGAACAATGAATTGAATAAATCGTATGGCATGGCTCAGCCATGCAGGCGTGGTCCTCGCTAAATGTTACCTTATATCTTTTATTCCTATTAAATATATTGTTCCATCACGAGCCTAAGATTGTTCTCTATCATGTATTGGTAATTGTTACAATGCAGTGAGTTGGTGTAGATGATGATGTGACTTCCACGTAAGATCTTATAGATTAGGGAGTTACATCATAAAAAATCTACAATTTTAGGATTAGTTCTATTATTAGAGCAGTAATAATACCGTAGTAGAACATAATTCTACAGATCCTCCAGACCTGCTAACCCGGTTTAAGTGCCAGGCCTTCTCTCAAGTTTGTAAATAACAACCCCACTGCGATAAGGCATTGGGTGGACTTCCCTGGCTGTGGCTGTATACGCTCGACAATGTGAGAGCTGACTCTCCCCACACTCGGCTATACCAAGGCATTTGGGGGCTTCCCGGGCGAGTGCTCTACCACTGAGCTACAACACCGGCACCTCTCTAAAAGCTAACTTCATCTGTCATGATTGGGTCGAAAATGTTCTAATACCGAAAACCCGTATGTTTTATCTCCACATTTCCTCAAAAACTTGAATAATCCTACAAGTCTCCCACATTGTCTGCACATTCCATACACATATGTTAATTGTTGTTCATGTTGTCAGAAGAGTTATCGGTCTAGTTATTTTCGATGAATCTCGAGCTTCACTATAAATCGTCACAACGCCTCCAAATGAAGATCTCTGAACTCCCAGAGCAGATTCTAAATGCTTTAAATAATTTTTTCTGGTTAGCGTTCTTCTAGAAAGATTAATCGTGACTTTCATAGCATTAATCTAAATTATTATTGCACAAATGTCTACCCTAATATCCGGTATCACTCTGTGTACTATTACATAAATTTACATGTATTTATCCGAGTGCACGAAAAGATCATTATCTTTTAAATTGTTGGTTAACTTCAGAGGTCGATATTCACTATACAATCATTGTTAACATAGTTGAACACTTCCACTAGGTGTTCATTTCTATTCTCTCTTTTTTCTTTCTAAATGAACATTATTAAGGTTCCGAGGTTTGTAATTAAGAAAATAACTTGTGTCACACTTAAATTAGCTTCTCAGTTTCGTTTTAGCTTCACTATCCATATATGACTCATACACATTCATATTTGGTTATCCCTTGCACTTAATTGAGAATTTCGTAGCATCACTCCAAACTATGACTGCACAAACACTTAATCTAATGTGATATCTTACTGCAATAACAAGTTGTTTTTCTTCATTATTTTCTATTTTATTCTCGTTGCTAATTTGACGATACATACATAGTCGCTTATTCCTGTTCTCTGTTAATAAACACGCCTATTAAACTATTTGCGTATTTTACGTCTCCTTTATATCGATTCCCTTATTTTCTCCTTTCTTTTCTTTAAAGTCAACCCAATATTCTTCTCAGTTATACAGAACCTGCTTTATTATTGTTCTATTATCACTATTATCTTTTCTCTTTTTCAAATATGGTAAATATAATGCTAAAATTACTGAAACTTGTGTTTTATTGCATTTCTGACGAAATACGAAATGGTTTCTTCACAACGCTTATGTACCCATAAGATGTTTGTGAATAATAATTATTATTATTTTCTACGTGGTGGCATTGCTAGTCCTATATCCTACCCTTCTTCATATAGGCTGAGGACCAGCAGTAACCTTGAGAGGACTCAGATTTAGTTCATTTACCAGTCGACGTAAGTTGTTACATAGCCACGAAACTAGTCTTCACTAAATGTATCTGTTATTAGTGAATGCTTAGACGTCACTGAGGTGTTTTTCGTGGAAGAAACATAAGTGACATCCATCAGTGATTTCAACCAAATGGTCAAAAAAATCCAGTGGATTTCTGATAAGTCTATTACATTGATAAATTGTCGTAAAGTTATCCCATCGGGCTCTAAACACAATGAAGAGAGTAAACAAATCAGATCTAGGTTAACCAAAAGTCAATGAACGACCGTAAACAGTGGCCAGCAACGAAAGCAAAAGAGATGGAGAAAACAGTGGCTGTAAGTAACACAAGACAGTTCCTCAGACTAGTAAAAGAAACCAAGTGAGACGGCTTCGGAAAAAGACGACACTTATCTACTCAAACCAGACCTTTAGAACCATGGGCGGAACACCTTAGGGAGCAATTCAGCTAGCCTTCATCTACTCTACAACTACCGACCATTATCAAACAACCTGAATGTAACATTGAAATAGGTCCCCCAACTCTAATTGAAGCTCAAAAAGCCATAGCTAGTCTGAGACAAGGAAGGGCAGCTGGTCCAGATGTTTTTAAGGATGGTGGTCCAATTTTAGAGATTAGGTTGATCAATATTTCAGCTAAAATCCAGGAACTGAGTGTAATCCCATCAGGCTGGTCGCAGTCACTGGTTGTCTCAATATATAAAGGGTCAAAATCATCCTGTGGTAACCATAGATGGATTAGTCTGACTAATATAGCATCTAAAATACTAGCCTCAATAATTATTGGGCGCCTAACTAAGACTCGTGAAGTGCAAACACGAGGAAACCAGGCTGGCTTCAGACCTGGTTGTGGATGCATAGACCACATATTCTAGAACACATGCATGCTTATCGGCGTCCGAAAATGATGGTCTTTCTTGACTTTAAAGCAGCATTTGACTCTGTAGATCAACAGGTTCTTCGCAGTGTCTGTCATTGAAAGGCGCACCTTAGAAGTACATAAATCTTTCGAAAGCTCATTATTAGAACACTCCTAGTTGAGTTAGAGCTTATGGCGAACTGTCATCTGATGTTGCAACCTCAAGTGGTGTCCGTCAAGACTGTCCACTATCTTTATTTCTATTCAATTTTATTATAGACCTACTGCTGGAAACAACGTTCTGGCCAACTGAATTTTCAGGTATTAATCCCCTACCAGGAGGTCCACTTATCGACTTAGAATTCTCAGATGACACAGTCCTGTTTGGTGAAAACGCTGATAAAATAGTCTTTTGTTAACACTGAGCAACAATGTCAGGATATTTGGGATGCGTTTCACCCCTTCTAAATGCAAGTCGTTGCATCAAGACTGGCCTGCGTGAACCCCTGAACTAAGGATAGGGGTGAAGTAGTCGAACGTGTCGACAACTCCACTTACCAATAGCTTCCTCCAATTCATAGGACGGAAAGTGATTAAAGGCGTTTTAAGATATGATAAAAAATTTCTTCGTATTAGAAATAATACAAAAATCAGTGGTATAAATGTCGAACGACAATGCACTTCGCTTTAATACCTTTCACTAGCCGATTACTACACAATTCTCTTTCGATATATGGTTTTCAGGAACAATTCATGACAAAATGCAACTTCAAGTTCTATTTAATTACACAACACAATTCTATTTCACTAAGAACTACGATCGAAGTAGATTCAGGCTTTACATATCATTGGACCTGATAATCATTATTACATAAATCAAAACAGTGTATGGATTCAGAAGGCAACACGAAGCACCAAGTACAGTTTATTGTTGAATAGCACAGATCACTAAGCCACAATCACATCAAGCGAAATCGGACAGAAACGCTAATATAAGCGAGCGAATACACATGTAAATCGAAAGTTGAGTAAAGAATTGAATTATACATATACTCGCGTTGTGATTTGTCAACATAGGCCGATGCACATATATGCCAGGTTCCAAGTTACATGTGACTAAGTATTACTCTACTAAGGCATTTCATTTACTCATCAAGAGAAGACCCAAAAAAGCTCAAAACTATCACACGGTCTTCATTCTCTTGGTAGTTAGCTAATACATCTAACTCCTCCCAGTCTTTATTTATTTATTTTAACACATAGATATCGGTACAAAGAGGTACCAAATACATATGCGCTACACAGATCTCATTTGATATGTGTGAGGGCTGTGATACTGCCCGGGTGCCCATACAGAAACAGGTGGTTTTCTTAGGGGACCACACCTCGAGCCTTCGACCTGAAGATCTGATCCACAAGGCAGTGGAGCATCGTAAGGAGATGCAGTCCCATGGTAGCCGGTGACCAAAAGTTGGTTCATACGCCATTTGTTCCCTCAGGCAGGATACTGGAGCCCATGTACACCATCGATTTGGGATCCGGTTATAGCGCCGGACATTCGCTTTTCGTCCTCTTATTTTCGTAAACAACACCCCCGCCACGAGAAGGCAGTGAGTAGGACTTCCCTGGCAGAGGCTATATACGCGTGACCATGTCAGAGCATTTCGAGAGGGAGAGCGGACTCTCCCCACTCTCGGCCGTACCAGGGCATTTGGGGGCCTCCCAGTCATTATCTTGACACATTTATAGCCCGACTCAGACCCACACTTAATCTTACCCCAACAGAAAAAATGGAGACCAGCGAATACGATGACTACAAATAATGACAAACGAATTACTAGAAATCACGAACCATTTTTAATATATCGAAAACACAGACCACAATGAGAGAAATATTTGGTTGATTAAGTATGAAAGTATACGTAAAGTCAGCCACGAGATTCGTAAAATAAACAGAAATGAGTAACAGTATTCGTAACAAGAAAAAAAGTAAATGACACGAAAATCAAAAGTGAGTTTTAATAACACAGAACGTAACGGCAAAATACACACAGTCATGCGTATATAGTAGAAATAGTAAGCTTATTATGAAAAAATCACTTATATATACACAAATAATTTACTCATTTAGCTTTTTAGAGAGTTAATATCCATGACTGATTAATTGATAGCATTACTAGTTAATTCTTCATAACAAATTTGGCACACACGAACTGGATCTTTACTAAACGTTGTAGAAGCCCGATTAGAAGAACAATTTTGGCAAAATATACCGCCACAATTTCTACAATGATGCTATGTATGAAAAAGGAAAAAGGATGTCATCATTCGTAATTACTTATCAAGTAAGTATTAAAAGTACACTGGAGTACAGTGTGTCAACATCACTTTAGATACATGAAACATAATAGAGAATTTTATTTAATACGAAGCTTCAAGACAGGTTATTTTCAGTAATAAGATTGTAGAGATTGTTGAATTTCATTGACATTATGAACTGATCTAAGTGAGACCAGGACTGAAAACCTAGAACCAACGAAACAAACGTATAGTACTCTTCAACAGAGTACATTTACTATCTCGCACGCGGGAATCAAACCTTCGGTCTCGCAATCTCTAAACCACTGACTGAGTCAACATCCAACGATGTTGATGTTTGACTGAATCAATCCACGACTTTGGGCAACCATTATTGACAGAAACCAAAGTATAAGCATCAAATAAATTATAACCTTCCAAACATGTAATAACGATCAAAGTTGAATAAGAATTACCAAAACTCGAAGTTAAGCTGTTCAGAAATTTATACACTTCGTTAAATGTTAAAGTCATGAATGTAAAAATCAATCACCTTATTTATTTAAACACATAAACAATGATGTAAAGGTCACCAAAATATGTATGCGCAACACAAATCACAGAATTCATATGTGGGTTAGGATACTTCCCGGGTGCTCAAACTGAAGTAGCTAGTTTTCTTAGAGGGCAAGTCCCCGAGCTTTTGACCAAGAAGTTTAATCTGCAAGGTGATGGAGCGGTCTCACGGTACCTGGTGACCAATCACAGGTTCATATACCGTTTGTTCCTTCAGGAACCTGAACCCAATGTACATCATTGAGTTGAAATCCGGGTATTCCAGCCCGCTGGCGGGTACGAAGGACCCACCAACCGCAAAAATTAATGGTACTAATCACATTAGTAGTTAACAAGAGCGAAGTACCTAGATTGGGTAATCATTCGTATGACAACTACAGAACATGTAGTAGTAGTAGTAAAAAATTATGGAAGACAACCAACCAACCCAATGGGTTGTTTCTTTTGAAGGGGGGCGGGACTTATGGTGAAACGACATAGAAATTCGTATAAAAAGCAAGCTTTTGATAACTTGAAATTTCACAAAAATAAAACAAAGTTCGAACAAAAATAAGCAATTTTGGGAAAGCACATTAATTTAATTTTTATCAGATGAACTTAAAACGGTGTAAATTATATTGCCAAACATCCAAATAGGATGGAAATGTCCATGAGAATTGAACTGTAACCTACGTCTGATTCTTGTCGAGAACAAAACGTGTAAGGATATAAAATACAAATATACGCAATAAGCAAGGTGAAATCTACGTATTGTGTGTTTAGTACAAGCATTGTCAAAACCCATTGTGCACGTCGTCCGCGTAATTGAGCCACAAACCAGAATTACTGACAGATCATTTGAGTGCTGTTTCAAGGCCACATGGTATAGACAAGCCTTTGTAGCTAAGTGAATTATTTTAGCTAACTTCATCTGGTTCATGCTAACAGTATGAATTTATGTGGATGATCCATCAATATATTCACTCGGCCATCGGAGTAAAGTTTTCTAAATATTCTTTATCTTTGTGCTGTAACCCAACTGATTGGGTCAATAGCTAGGAAGAGTGTGATTTTGACTGAAATGAATAGGTCGATCATCACAAACTTGGACTTCAATATACAAAGATTAAAAGTATATCTCTAACATTTATTGAATTTTGAAATGAAATCAAGTAATATTAGATTTTTCGGTCTTTACACTGTAGTATCATATTTACAGTATTTCGTTTAAAACCAAGAATCAAATTATTAAATATGACATGGATATGTTTGTAGGGAAACTGAATTTTAAAAATATCTGTGTTACTAGTTATAAAACCAGTCCAACGACTGAAGACAAAGAAGTTTATGACATATTAATTACTAGTCAGAAAGTTAAGTCAGTCAGTCAGCCACGACGAAGGACCAGGCACATACATGCATCGGTCCAAGTTGCCATACCGCATTAGCACAACAAGATGAACACCGGGTTCATAGAAGTGGTTAATTCAATGGTGGTAATATATAAAAGAAAAATCACATATAAGGATGTAGTACAAGAAGAAAGAATTAATTCGTAGAAAGATATGAAGTGATTTTAATCTCTCAGTTTAAGGGAAGGCAGATATTGTATGCATCTACGCCATTGTAATCGATTCTGAGCTATGTCACCCAAAGTCTCCAACCATTGATTACGATAGTCACGCGGACCCCAACCAAGTAGTCTGCATCTACCAACATGGCTCAGACCATAAGTTAGTGACTTCAAGCACTGATGCCAGGTTTTGGTTTGGTCGCCCCTAACTTTCTTCCAGCGATCCCCAGCACTAGTCAAGATTGCGCGTCGTGATGATCGAAGTTCAAGCATACGCAACACGTGGCCTAACCAACTCAGTCGATGAAAATACACAACCTCATCAACTGATTTACCAAGTTAACTCGGGTAAAAGAAGCTTTAGATACACCGAGATTAAGCTTAACATACAGGAATTATAACCATATAGAGTAACTGATAGACTCCTGAATTATTCATTAGCACTCACATGTTTAAACTATTATAAACCATGAACTAGACATTTAAAAAATATGTCTTATGGCCGATAAATTGTATCGAAATTTCATTTTAACTAAACAATAAAGATCAGTCATAATGAGTAACGAAATGTGAAAATCAAATTCAGTATGTGACAGACATCAAATCACACCAAAGAAAGAATTCGATAGTTTATAGAAATGAAAGATTATTTCCAAAATGAATGATTGTGGTTAAGAATTATAAGATGTAGTTTAATAATAGACAAGTTAGTTGGTTTGTTGTACTGATAAAAGTGTAAGAAGAACTAACAACATGTCCATTTACCAGTTAATCCTAAAATTAAATCTTCTAAGTATTTACCGGAACAATGTGAGTTTTCTAATAATTTAAACATAAATGATAATAGATTTTAGAAAGAATTTTCGTAGATTAATAAAGTGTAGAATAAGATTAAGGAGTTTATGGGTTGGTTTATCAATTCTCACGTCAACAAGTTGATCCAAATGAAAGAACGACAGCATTTACAATCTGAAGAAAAACAATATTTCATTGAATAATAATTCGTGACTCGTTTACCAGGTATAGATTCATGGACTGTGCCTTAAGCTATATTGTATCTGTAAGAGCTCGTGTACTATATAGCTAATCAAATCGAATGGGGTGGAGCAAGACTAAAAATTCAGAATTATTGACTGAAAGTCGGCCAATTTAGCCTCTAAGTCACTGCTTCAGTGAATGTACACACTTCATTCAATACGATATGTCAGTTTACATTGGAAGATTTCAGCATAAAATACAGAACAACAGGACAAATTCCTGACCAATAAATACTTAATTTGTAAAGATTCAGAAAACACGGAAAAATATGCTTTTACAACGGTAGTCTATCAAACTCAAAACACAGTATACACGATATCAAGTTACTTGAACTGGTTGTTGTCCTGAAAAACGTCACTTACTTACGCCTGTTACCCCTCATGGAAGATCATAGGCTTCCCACTAGCATTCTCCATCCAACTCTGTCCTGGGCAAACCTTTCCAGCTATTTCTAGTTGTTATTCATCCTTTTCATCTCTGCTTCCAGTTCCCAACACAGTGTGTTCATTGGCCTTCCTCTTTCTAGTTTCTGACTAGGATTTCAAGTTAGGGCTTGCTTCGTGATGCAGTTTGGTGATTTCTGCAATATGTGTCCTGTTCACTTTCAGCGTCTTTTCCTAATTTTCTCTTCAGTTGGAAGCTGGTTTGTTTTCCGCCACAGTAAATTGTTGCTGATGGTATCCGACCAATGGACATTAAATATCTCGAGTAGACAACTGTTTATAAATACTTGTACTTTTTGACGATGGTTGTAGTAGTTCTCAAAGTTTCAGCTCCGTATAATAGAACTATCTTGATGTTCGTATTAAAGATTCTGACTTTGACATTGTCTGACAGACAATTATTTTGAGCTTTATATGTTCTTCAACAGTAGGAAAGCTGTCCAACCCAAATACTTCAGTAGTAACATTTTTGAATGTAGCACCACATTGGTCTAATTTTTGCACGAAACATCAGTTTCTTCGAGATTACAGATATGCCTTGCTGACAAGTATCAACTAGTATGCATCCATTCATTTATCGTCACTTAGTAAATCAGTAAACTTTATCCAGTAGTAAAACTCAGTATGCACATGTAAATCAGTTCAATTAAAGAGTAAGCGGAGAATACGTATTACAATTAATGATTACAACAATGAAAAACCATATTGTTTATATCAGCTAGAACAAACAGAAAACAAAATTAATCATACCCTCCGTGTACTGATAGAGAATTCACGATCACAACCGAAACATGCTAAAGCTTCGTCATCTTTAGTCCATTGACGATTAGTTAAACGATCGCGTAAAACCTAGTGAAATTTAAAAGTAATAGTTTGTATTATTATTATTACTATTAATAGGACTTTTTGTGAATATTATAGTAATTTTAATAGTTGAGATCATGAGTCAATTGAACACCTTCTGATATTAATCAAAATATGCTCACTAGTGACGGTCTTCAAGAGGTATTTCCTGGAGTCCTAGTAAGAAGCCGTGACCAGTGGAGTTCAATCGGGTCTGTTGTGAGATAGTAACTCACTGATGACAATGGTGGACGGTACGCAACTTCGTGGATTGGTTGAAGTTAGACATTAACACTGTTGGATGTCGGCCAGCTCAGTGGTCTAAAGGTTAAGCGTTCGCGCGCGAGACTGATAGGTCCTGGGTTCGAGTCTGGAGAGGGGATCGTGAATGTGCACTGCTGAGGAGTCCTATACTAGATTAAAGCGCCCATCCAGTGCTTCCATGGTCTAGCTTCAATGGATTCATGGTCTCAACTACTAAAATTATTGATATTACCTGAAGCACTTGATTTTCTCTACCTAATTCAACAACAGCTATTTGTAATTCTTTAAGTTCTTTCAATTTAGAATTTAATTCATTTTGAAGATTCGAACCTGCATCTTCAGCTTTAATTAATCTGTAAATAAAGAAAAACAACAACAACTCACAAACAAACTGTCATGTTTTGTAAGCTTGAAATATGTGAAATTATTAAAACATACCGAGTTATATAAGTAGACTAGTAATGTTGTAAATTTAGTGAGAAAAAATGTGATTAAAGCAAAATTATTTTCACGTAAACCACTTCTATATATTCACTGAAAGTTTTCAGCAAAAATATTAACAGAGGAATAGACTGTAGTAAGTAATGCTCAAAATAGACAAAACTACCAAATGAGTAATGATAGTAGTACACGCTGAATACCAGGTAAATATGAAAGATTAATTGATGAGATCGGGAGTGTTTAACAGTCAATAAAGTCGAAATAACCGTCACATATCTTTTGTTACTATTTACACCTCTATAAGTTATTCTGCTTGGTAGCGTACGTCTATATTAAACATAGCCAACAGGTGTTAACATAAAATATCAAATAAACGCATAAAGTAATCAACTTTCAATTAGAACCTTGTGAACAAGTGGATGTATACTAGTTAAGAATTATTAGACTAATGTAAGACAAGTGTAAACTTCCTAGTCAATTTAAATGTATGTGATATGTACTACTGATGTCGACAGATATAAGTAGTATGTATCACCAACCTAAAGGGGCATGCCTGACGGTAGAAGGTTGAGGAAATTGAGGAGAACAAAAACAGAGAGTGATTGGCATAGAAACGAAGAAACGATAAAGTCTGAGAAAATTGATGGATGTTTTGCAAATGAAGTATTTACTGTATGGTTCTCAAATTTTACCAAGATATTCTGTAATGTTGTACTCAAATACATTTGGTTGTCTACATTGGTGTTCTCATCCACTACACTATAAACAATAACCATATTTTATGCCAAGAAAAATAACATTGATTAAAACCTACTTTTCCATGAGAGAATCAATTTCTTTCTTAGATAATTTCGATTCGGCTATAAATTAAAAATAATAAAGGTAAGGAAACAAGTAAGTCATAATCAATATTAGTCTGTGAAAAATATACGCGTTAACTTAAATTGTTTTGTTAACCCATATCAGAACGATATCATGAATAGCAAACGAGTTGAAATTATAGTAGTAACAATGATACCGAGAAAGACTGAATCCTTTCTCCTAGATTATCTGTATTATACTTAGCTTTCCACTATGATCAAGTTCATTATTTCTGCTTCGCTGTCTCATTAATTTCCTCATTCGCTTTCTTTTTTCCTTTCGTCTCCGACTTGTACTGATGTGAGATATGATAATTTCGACCTATACAAATTTATTTGAAGTCCTAGGTTGTCTATGGATGATTGGTGAAATTCTTTTCCCAGCCTCGAGAGATTTATCACCAAGTGATACGGAATAAGACATCTTATTTAGTAATCAATAATCTTCAATTATTTTGTTGTTGTTGTTAACCAACATCAAATTTTATAAAGAAAAATGTACCTTCAAGATATTCAATATAAAAACATTATTGATGTATAATATTGTAAACTGAAATGATTATTTATGAATATGAGAAATAGTTCTTGAATAAATTAATCCAATATACAGTGAATATGTAAATGCATAGCACAAAATGTAAGTTGTAGTATAGTAGCCCCCCCCCTTTCATTATAGTAGACTAGATGAAAATAAAACTAGATTTTTCACAGAGCTCCCTTTTTAAAAGTCTAGTATTCTGAAATTCTACTCATTAGAAAACCAGTTATGTAATATTATAGTGTGATCGACTTTTCATCATAAAGAATCAGGAATAATATGAAGTATGTAAGAATAATGATCATTAAATTATATGCTTTACGGAAAGTATTGGTGTTTCAATTTATTATGTTTTAGCTTTGAACATTAACAAAGGATATAAAAACTATTTGATTAGTCTTTAAAGGTTGGTTTTTGGCATAGTGCTGTTTCTTAAGTGGTCTTGTATTTGACTCCAGTTGGATCGTTCGCTGATTGTCATAGAAGTATATATCCCGGTTACCCTCGTATATAATCAAATGTGAGAGTGAAGTTTAAATACGTATATTTCATACAATCGTTGATCCAAACAGATGATCAGAGAAACAAGGCGCAACGAACCGGAGGTGGCATGTGAGCCGACTTAATTTGATAAAGCGGAACTCAATTTTTATATTCAGACAAAAATAAATTACAGACACATGATGAATAAGGTAAGTAATTAACGCATATACGATGATATTAAACCAAACAGGGTTAACGAGAGAATAAATGACATAGTACCAGCCACTATAGTTCACAGTCATTCATCAATTATATAAATACATATGTTGTTTAACCATGCTTGTGTTTTGGAGGCAGTGTAAATTATTACAGAAATAGGATGATAACTTGATAGTTAAAACAATCAGATTTTAAACAATAGGTCATTGGTCCGAATCTTTTTCCATTTACATCAATTTAGATAGTGAGAATGGGTTACTAGCCTTCACATAAACAGTGTAGCTCAAAGCTCAGTACATAAAACTAGTAATTACTAAGTAAACTACTCCTGTAAAAGACCAGTTTTCTACCTCTTATTGCGCATAACTTCCTTATATATCGTCAATTTGTATTAGGCTCGTATAAATCGCGAAATAAATCATCAGTCTCTATCATAATAAGTATTCTATTCAGCTACTGATCGATGAAAGATGTAATTTCCTTGCACGCGCAATAAACACACAAAGTAAACTATTAAAATAGTTGTGATTATCAATGGGATTCTGAATTAGGATTTGATAAATATGCTTAATCACACTTTAACTAACAAAACTTGGCACTTCATGGTGTTTATATTCCATCTAAAGCTTAAATCGTACCAAAAAGGCGGAATCAGAACGATGTAAAGACCTTAACGAAGAGCGTAATTTGCAAAAATTTTCAAACATATTTTGAATAAGAAAAACTGAAATGGTGATAAATATGGAAAGGTTAAGAGTGATTTACTTAAAATATTGTGAAATAAACTTATGACGTCAGTTCGCACATTTTTTGACAAATTAGAATTTTATCAGAAGGGGTTTAGTGGAGATTGTAATAATTTCAACAGTTGAGATCATGAGTCAATTGAAGCTAGACCACTATTGAAAACCTATTGTGGGACGAAACGGCCGTCCAGTGCTTCCAAGTTTTCCATAGTGGTCTAGCTTCAATTGACTCATGATCTTAACTGTTGAAAGTAGTATTTGACAGAAATAAATAATGTACATTTTGGTTACAAACAGAAAATCGAAAAAAACAACTTTACATTCACTTTCATACTCAAAAATGATAAAAACTCATTTTTGATTACTTTGTGACTCTGAACGAATACTTTCAAGATTCTTCTCTAAACTAATTAATTTCTCTTGACAGATTTGATTTGATTTTACAGCATCATCAGCTTCAGTTTGAAGTTGATGACATTTTGCCTGAAGGGTAGAATTTAAATTTTTTGATTCGGTCAATTCATTAGTTAGTCGATTCTGTAATGGAAAAAACATATATTTTATAACCTAATAGTTTTTAAATCAAAGTTTAAGGAATTTTCAATATAAACGTCAAGACAGTTCTACTATACGGAGCTGAAACTTGGAGAATTACTACAACCATCATCACAAAAGTACATGTATTTATAAACAGTTGTTTACGTAATATATTCAATGTCCATTGGTCGGATACCATCGGCAACGATCTACTGTGTCAGAGAACAAGCCAGCTTCCAGCTGAAGTGGAAATTGGGGAAAGACGATACGGGTAGATAGGGCACACACTATGTAAATTAACAAACTGCATCACAAAGCCTGTCCTAAATTAAAATTCTCAAGGGAAAAGGAAAAGAGGCAGACTAAAGTAGATATGCCGCCGAGAACTGACGATAGAGATCAAAAACGTGAAAGGCACTCGGCAACAACCGTAAAGGAGAGCAGAGGATAGAGTAGTCTGGAGGATCCTAGTCGGTAGCCTATGTTCTATGAGGGGTTACAGGAGTAAGTATCACTCATAATGTTCAGTATTTGTCAAAGATTGTGGTGCCTTGCCCATTGGTATGGATGTTTTAATTGTGAAGCTTTTATCGTTCCTCCAGACATTATGAGCACATACTTCAAAGAAATAATGTTGCCCAGTGGAACGAATGAAGGATTCAAGACTAAAACAATCAAACTAGAGGACATAAAACCTTCAAAATCTTCATCCTGAATTTTAAAATATTCCATATAATCTCAAAAATAAATCCTGTTTATAATTCTCAGTTAAAATACTTGGTCTAGTTAAATCCTTGAAAGTATAAATAATAATGATATTGAAATTAGTTTCTGAGTTTTCTACCACTTGTAGTAGAAAAAAATATCCACAGAGAGGAGCAAATGTGTAAAAACCATAACCGGTCACTGGAATTTTTGTAGCTGACATGATCATTTATATGAGTTAAGACAGCGAAAAGTGGGATGAATTAAAATTATCTTAGAGAAATACAGTTTTGTAATACTAAGTTCTTGTAAAACGTCATTTGAAATCATACTCAATCTTCTGAATAATCAACCCTAGAAACTTGACTAAGCTCTTTTTTTACTGATAAACAAACTAATAGCCTCACCGTAAACTAACCAAGAAGTTTGCAACACACTTTAGATTGTTGAATACTATATTGAACAAGATCATTTTGGTCTTCATTATAAAACTAATAGATATGGAAGCTGACAACACCTTGAATAAACTCTTTAAACATGTAGTATTAATTGAATTCTAATCGTCACAATCGTAAACATATTGAACGTGGACTTCAGGTTCCTGAGGGAACAAATGGTGCATGAACCTATTGTTGGTCACCGGCTACCATTGGACTGCATCTCCTAACGTTGCTGCTGCACTGCCTTGTGGATAAGACCTCTAGGTAAAATGTTGGAGGAGTAGTCCCCTAAAAAATTTACCTACTTCGATTTGGGCACCCAGGAAGTTCCTAGCCCTCAAGCAAATCGAATGACTTATGTGACGCATATATAGTGCCTCCTTGTACCAATGTTTATGTGTTTAAATAGATAAATAAGCACTACATATATGTGATCCATGCTCCATGGAGCCATTTAATAAGAATGTTTAGGCACATATGACCTCAGATTTATTATATCATCTCTAGAATTTCGATTTACAACGTTCCATATAATATTCAGAAATAGTGTAAATATAAACGATTTGCAGTAAGAAGTCTATGAATTTGACGACTATGTTTGACGAATTTTCGGCTTGTAAATGTACAAACGAAAAAAACCATATTGAAATGTTATAAAACACTATTTAATTCCTATTTTTATACGATATACTAATGCTTAATATCATTACAAATCACTTTATCAGTAATAAACGACACAGTTGTCAAAACATTCATCAACACAGTTTACATCAGTAGAGCGTGTGTGTGTATGTGTGAGGGAGAGAGAAAGAGGAGATTAACAACATGAAAGTAAAGTAGTCCAAACCATTATATTACTGGCAGTATGAGATAAAATCTAAAAGCGATAAATAAAATCAGGAACTGTAAAGTGTATGAAATACTGTAAGGACTCATAATCTAAAGGGAAATAAAGAATAAAGATGTTTGGGTAAAAACAACTGATTTTGGGGTAATATCATTTAAAATCTCTAACCATAAATTACAATTATCATACCGACCCTTATAGCTAAGAATTCAGGACCTAACAACGTAGCTCAAATCAATAATCAGTGTTATGATTTTATGTCCGACTTTCGATCATGACTTATCCACCAATCAGAATACGACTTATACAAATCTTCGCACTATGACAAAACCAATCATGTTCAACTGGTTTGAGCAGTCTAGTGTCCTTATTGGGTCCTGTGTCCTTCTAGCCCGTCCGCTTGAGTCCAGAACACAATATCAGCTCCTGTAATATGAATCGAATCGAATCAAATCGGACCGAGTCGTTTATTTTAGACATATTCTATTTATATATCAATCAGACAGACCACAACGTACCATAAAATAGAAAATAACATGTGTACACAAATAAGCTAAAAAGTGGCTGTGGACGTGTGAGACAGTAATTAATAAACTGAGTATAACATGGGAACAGTATATCGTACAATGATAATATATATGTCAAAATGAAGCTTATAATAAGGGGAATATAGATATATATAATCTAGTTACTGAATAATTATACCATAAGAATATATAGATAATATTAGTCAATTAATGTCTCAGAAGTTACTCGAGATTTAATCTTCGCTCGGATATAACAATCAGTCACTTTATGAATTGATGCCATGTCTTCATTGGCCCATCCCTATCTTAATTTCATTGTATTCTCATAACATCTAGCGTTGCATGCTACGATAGGTGGTATCTGGATAACTTCAACACATAATCTAGTCACCTGACTTGATGAAAGATTACACTTTTATTAAATATCGTCTTATCGAATTGGGGATTTTATCAAATACTGTCAATGAATCAAATGGATTTATGGTCATTGATTACAGCACTAAGTGATGCAAGTTAGAATTTCTGAGGGAGAAAAGCAGTGCTCATAGGCGTCAACCACACATAAAACCTGGTCAAACGAATTACTCCATCGATTGCCGTCAACCACTAAGTAAAGTAAGCTGGTAATTTAGTAGTCAAAGGAATTCAATTTTAACAGTTACGTTACTGTTTCAAGCTCCGTCCTAATCAGATCATTTTCCTTAAGTAGTTAGCATCACCAGTGTATATCAAAGCTATGCAGTTCAAATTATACATTGTAACTAAATGGATTAAGCTCACAAATCCATAAGCTACAGGTTGAATACATCTAAAATGTAACCATGGGTAGATTACTAACAATTGGAAAACAAAACCAAGCCAACATCGAAATACACTGATCCGTTCATTTTTAACAGGTCAGTATTAGCGGATGGACTGAAAACACATGAGGTTCCAGTAGAATTATGTATTAGGGACGAGTTAATCATTATCGAGAACATGACTTTTAAATTCTTGTGCGAAATTCAGATATTATGCAGAATGATCAATAGAAAAACCTTTTTATACTGCTTAAAACGCTTGAAATGGTAGAGAAAAATGTTTTGAAGCCAGAGAACAAAAATAAAAATAATAATAATCAAATATCTAATTCCATCTCTTTCGAAGGAGCGAATCGAGCGAAGAAATTACTTTTCAATTAGTTTTTCATTATGGCTCTACACTAATATATATAAAATGCTCATCGAGTGGATACGTTACGTAATAATTACATAATGACATTTAAATTAACATCTAGTAGTTTGGATGAAAGATAATTATTAATATTCAAAGTAATTATTAAGTCAAGAAGTTGCTATGTTGCATAATATATGAAAAGAGAAGGAACAGAATTTGTAATGGGTGGTCAATAGAATAGTAGTTACGTAAGAATCAAGAGATGAATGTCGAGAAATTATAAGGTTCAAAAAGAAAGAAAACAAAATCAAAATTAAAAATTTAAAAAAATGTGAGAAGTATGGAAAATAGTTCTGTTGAAGGAAATCTTATACCGATGGCGAAGGCAGAGAAAGTGGTTGTACAAATTTCTTTTGAATGTCAAGGTCAGGTTTGTGAACATGGATTGCGATGGCTTCCGCAATGTGCAAAAGGCGCACTCGTAAACCATGTGATAAATTTGATGGGATATGGTAGATAACCTTAACTCTTGAATTATAGATGACGTCAGTTACTGATGAAATCCTAGTCTTAAACCCTTATCCTAACCATAAATACTAAACCTTAACTAGAAATGATGTACAGACTCTTAGAAATCTGTTTTGGTTCCTTTAAAGGTTTGAGAATATGGACAATCTAGATTCATAAGACGAGTTTATACGTCGTTATATTTTCCAGTGTGCAGGCAGAGAGTAACCAGTAGAATAGATTAATAGATCTATGTAGGGCTGTGTAGATTATTAAGTTTTTAATTGAGATCATGAACTGATTAATGGTAGACCACCATTGAAAACCTGGAAGCACGGGATAGCCGTTTCGTCTTATCGTGGGACTCCTTATCAGTGCGCATAGACGATCCCGCTGGCGGGATTCGAACCTATGGCCTTCAGTCTCGCGCGCGAACGCTTCACCTCTAGACCACTGAGTTGGTATTCAACAGTGTTAATGTTTAACCTCAACTAATCTTCGATTGTACTGATGTAGATATTAGTCAATTGGTTCATAATCTCAATCAAAAAAAGCCCTATACTGATAATTATCATGTGCTCATTAGTGTTGGGGTGATCCAGAAAACTTTTCGCAAAAGACAAGAAAGGATCAGGAAGCACTAAGAAGCATCTTATCCAATCAGTGTTCACTTGAAATTTAGCCAGAAACATCAAGAAAGTGAAAAGTCATATGTAGAGTTTCTGATTGGCTGATTACTATACTGCTACTATGTTTAGTAGCGTTCCAGAATTTTCGGGAAACCCAAGGACATCTAAAATACTAGAAAAACCCTATATTTTCTGTACTAAAACGAACCTTTGAAGTAAAGTGCTTCTCGCATATTTTGCGCCTTTTTTCTCATGTTCAGGTCTCTGTATAGTTCTAGCTTGGGGGTTACGAGAATAGCTCAGGAACCGAATATAGCGTTCAATTAGGAGGACTTATCAACTAGTAACTAGCTTCTTGAGGGGATTCTCGACGTTCTGATGAGAAGTCGTGACCAATCAAGCCAATCCGTATCGGGTAGAGACAAGTATCTTACTTTCTTTTTATCTTTATTTTAATTTTGAACTAGTTAACTGAAATGTTATGGCAACTATTTCTACATAAAATACTTGATAATAATTTACTTACAATATTATTTTCATATTGTTTTTGTTTGGTATCTAATTCATTTTTAATTGTTTCCAATTCAGATTGTATATTCTTTTTTGAATGTATAAGTATAGATGAATCTTCAGTAAGTTTTTTATTTGTTAATTTTAACTCTTTTAATTGTCTTTCAAGAATTGATAAATGAGTAGAACGATTTGTTAACTCAGTTTCATATTTATTTATTTCATCCTTTTTAGAATTATTGAATTCATTTAATTTAATAGTGATATTATTCAATTCATGTTTCACTGATAATAATTCTGTCTATAAAAGGAAATAGAGATAAATAAAGAAATAAAATAATGACAGATATTATCATATAAAGGATGTGTAAATTTTAATCAAGTTTTATTCTTTAAGCTAAATGGTTTAGTTGTGGAGCTTTCATGATTGTTCTAGACGATATCATTAGCATAAACTTCAGGGAGAAGTACTCTATTAAAATTATCTACTTGACTTATAAATTTTTTACATCATCTCGAAATGCAAATTAATGAATATATAGGATAGGTATCATCAATGTCAAGGTTGGACTTGATAGTTTTAAATAAATTGAGTATTGCGTTAATTTAATTCGATTACTTATTTACTATGAAGAAGTGACTTACACTAGATTACGAAACGTCAGAAATACAATTTTTATATTTATTGGTATATAACCAAAAATATATTTATTATCAGAAGGGTTATTGTGGATATTATAGTAATATCAATGATTAAGATCATGAGTCAATTGAAGCTAGACCACCACCATGGAAGAACTAGATGGCCGTTTCAACCTAGTATGGAACTTAACAGCAGTGCGCATCTACGATCCCGCCTTGTGAGATTCCAACCCTGAACCTACTGCTCTCGCGCGCGAACGCTTAACCTCTAGACCACTGAGCTGGCCGGCATCCAACAATGTTAATGTCTCACTTCAACCAATCCACGAAGTTGCGTACCGTCCACCATTGTCATCAGTGGGTTACTATTTCATAACAGACCCGATTGAACGCCACTGGTCACGGCTTCTTACTAGGACTCCAGGAAATACCCCTTGAAGACCGTCAATAGTGAGCATATGATGATGGCTGACCAGTGATTCCAGGTTTCCCATAGTGGTCTAGCCTTAATTGACTCATGAATCCAACTAGAAAAACAATGAGATAAAGTATTTTTATGTCAAATTTAGTGTTGTTCATAAGAGCATAAATTGGGTATATGATTTCCTTATTTTTAAATTAAAACTGTACTAACATAGTTCAATGTAGATTGATGGAAAAAAGCACCATGAAATGGGAATCTTACTTCTAGATACTTTCAGAATAGATTTACCTAGTTTGAATTAATTTCCGACAATAGATTAGACAATTCTATTTGAAGCGTCTTTATGCCTATGAAGTTTGATAAATAGTAGAAATTTTCACACATTTACAACGAGAATAATACATCATACTAAGTGTGATAGTTATCATGACTGTATAGTCTGATATTCAATAGGAATATTTATGGTGGCTTAGCTTCGAGATAATTCCTTAGGCTTCGTATATCAATCATTCTAATAACTGTTATTTTTTAAAATTACAACGCCTCATGAATTCAGAACGCAACACTCGGAATTGACTACATTTATTTATTAATTAGTTTATTTATTTTAACACATAGATATTGGTACAAGGAGGCACCAAATACATATGCGCTACACAGATCTCATTTGATTTGTGTGAGGGCTGTGATACTGCCCGGGTGTCCAAACCAAAGCAGGTGGTTTTCTTAAGGGGCCACACCCCGAGCCTTCGACCTAGAGATCTGATCCACAAGGCAGTGGAGCATCGTGAGGAGATGCAGTCCCATGGAAGCCGGTGACCAAGAAATTGGTTCATACGCCATTTGTTCGCGCAGGATACTGGAGCCCATGTGCACCATTGGTTTGAGATCCGGTTAAAGCGCCGGACATTCGCTTTTCGTCCTCTCATTTTCGTAAACAACACCCCCGCCACGTGAAGGCGGTGAGTAGGACTTCCCTGGCAGAGGCTATATACGCATGGCCATGTGAGAGCATTTCGAGAGGGAGAGCGGACTCTCCCCACTCTCGGCCGTACCAGGGCATTTGGGGGCGAATTGATTACAGCTTATTGGATACAACATATTACAAAGTTACAAGCACACCAAGCGAATTTGAGCAGAAAAGCTGATACGTTCGAGCAAGCGAATAAAGCGATGAACTCCGAGTCAAATAAATTAAAGATTAAAGCTCTTATATATGGAAAAGCAAATGATTCATCAAGTGACTTTGAGTAGCTAACACTTAAGCTAGAGAGAGGCGTATGTGCATAAGCTGTCACTTGTGATTAAACATACATATTCATACAGATATGATAATAATACCAAGATATACAAATTATAACTGTTTAAATAACACTGTCTGTTAAATACGTTAATTGAAGTGCTTGACAAAATTAACCGTAAACAAACTTAAGTGTGGGAAGGGTGCGGTGATTAATGTACATCCACCCAACTAACGAAACGAAAATCCTAGATTCCACTGTTAGCCGCTGTTTAAAATAGACGAATGAATTATATCTTACGATTTTTAAGTAGACATTCATGATTATTATCCTGAGTATTTACATAATCAATTTCTTTGCTTAGGAATTATCCAGATTACTTTTATTAATATCATTATTATTAATGACTCGATTCGACATTATATTTTTGGTACAATATAGAATTCTCAGCACACAGTAATTCAACAAGTTTCATTTTCTTATTTCATGGTCCTGGGTTCGAATCTCGCGGGGCGGGGTCGTGGATGCGCACCGATGAGGAGCCCCACAGTAGGACGAAATGGCCGTCCAGTGCTTCCAGGTTTTTCATAGTGGTTTATCTTCAATTGACTCATGATGTCAACTATTAAAATTATTTATTAATTTCTTTTTAAGAACAATAATGATAATCTTACTTTTAAAGAATTATTTTCAGATGAGAGAGATTTTAATTTTTCTTCTAATAATAAACTATCCTCATTTAACAGGTTTGTTGTATTTCCAGGTAGATTGTTCTCTGTTAATCCCTAAGGAAAATTGAATAATAATAATAATAACAATAATAGCATTAATAATAATACAGTATAGTATAGATGAATTCAATTTATCACAACTTCTAATGTGAAAAAGTATAGAGATAATTTCTATAGCTAACGTATGAAGGTAGTCTTATTGATAAGTCCTCTAAATGAACGTTAGATTTGGTTCCTAAGCACTTATAGTAACCCCTAGCCTAAATATACACGGCGACTTGAACACGATAGAAAAGACACGAAGTTTGGAAGGAAACGCTTTACTCCAAAGGTTCGTTTATGTACAGGAAATCTAGGGTTTTTATAGTATTTTAGATGGCCCTGGGTTCTCGGAAAATTCTGGAACGCTACTAGACATAGTAGCAGTATTGATAATCATCCAATCAGAAACTCGATAAGTGACTTTTCACTTTCCATCTGTTTCTGGCATAACTTCTAGTGAATGCTGATTGGATAAGATGCTTCTCGGTGTTTTCAGAGCCATTTTTGCTTTTTTCGACTTTTTTTTATTTCCTCAACACTTATAATAACTGAAAAATCACTGAAAGGAAGAAACAAACAATTTTTTTATTTTAATAGATTATAGCTGATGTTGGTCTACGATTAGAATTATTTCCACTTGAAATCATGAACCGATCTAAGTAAGACCAATATTGAAAACCTGGAAGCACTGAACGGCCGCTTTATGGAACTCCTTAGCAGTGCGTATCCATGATCCCACAAGTGGGGATTGATACCAGGACCTTCGATACCAAGAAAACACTTCATCTCTAAACCAATGAGTTGGCATCCAATCTATTCACCGTATTGAGCGACAAACTCCCATTGTCTTCAGTGAATAACTGCCTCACACCTTACAAGGATTAGCTCTATTGGTCGAGGTTTCTTACTGGAACTCTGGAAATTTCCTCTCGAAGCTAGTCACCAGTGGGCATATGATAAATGTCAGTATTTCCATCAAAATCATGAACCATCGATTGCTTTCAGGTTTTCAATAGTGATCTTTTAGTGGCTCGGGATCTGACTCCAGTTAAATAGGACAAATGATCGTTATTGAATGATCGCTGTCGAAGTATATATGTTGCCATTCCTCATATGAAATTATCGACTTAAATCGCGTTAGTGAATAAAGGAACTAAATAAGTTAAGTACGAGAATGAAGTTTTGAATACATATATTTTATATACCCATTGATCTGGGCAGACAACCAGACGGAAGAAGTGAAGAGAAGAGAAAGAAGCGAAATGACGAGTAGTGGAGAAGGAATGAGAGTCAACTCGATGCAATCAAGAGTTAATCAATATTTTTAGCCAAATAAAAGTAAGCTACAGACGTGTGATGAGCAGAACAAGACATACACCCACATACGCTTATATAAAAAACAGTCAGGATTAATAAGAGAATAAGTGACAACGTAAAAATGGGGTTTGAAAAGAATGGATAAGTCGGTTTGTCCAGGATCCAGAATAAGTTATGTGGGCTTGACATAGGACCAGCCACTACAATCTTACTTAGATCGGTTCATGATTTCAATGAAATTTAACTATCTCCACAACCCTTTGATTGACAGTCATTTTCAAATCAAAATAATCTAACAAACTACTTCAGTAAAATAAAAAATGTTGAATACTGAGATAGCCTAGGAGGCCATAATCATCAACAATGCTATTTTCGATTCATATGTGGTATAGACTACTTATGTTTGTCGACATGAGTAGTATTTTGATATCCCAATGAGCAGAAAATTGTATTTCTGATGTATTGTGCCTCAATGAAGTCACTTTTTTATTTACTCTAAAGTGACTTACATTAGGACCCGACACGTCATAAATACGATTTTCTACTCGTTAGATATCACAAAAAATATACTTAGTATTAACCGTCTACCCAATGCTCAGTCTATTAGAAAGCATCATGTTCATCCTTGGCATCGATACTTACAAACATAAAAAATTTAGTCAGCATTCACTCTATTTCGCTATTTCCTAATCAACTTATTTTAGGTATTAAGCATGTATATTTGATAATAAAACATTAACCACGAATGCCATGGTATGGTCGAGGGTGGGGAAAGTCAGCTCTCTCTCCAAATGCTCTAACGTTGGCCACGAGTATACAGCCACTGTTAGGAAAGTCCTACTCACTGCTTTATCGCGGACGGATTGTTGCTTATGAAATTGAAAGGACGAAAACCAAGTGTTCGGCGCTTTAACCGGTTTGATGGACATGGAGGGTCCATCTAGGGGAGTTGGAAAACACTTATTTCAAACCAATGATGCACGTGGGATCCAGGATCTTGAAGGGACAAATGGAATATGAACCTATTGTTTGTCACCGGTTACCATGGGACTGTATCTCCTGACGTTGCTCCACTGCCTTGTGGACTAAACCGTTAAATCAAAAGCTCTGGGAGTGGCCTCCTAAAGAAACCACCTGCTTCAGTTTGAGCACCCGGGCAGTCTTCCGACCATCACACAAATCGAATGATTTATGTGGCGTATATGTATTTGGCGTCTCCTTGTACCAAAGTTTATGCTCAAATAAATAATAAAACACTTATTGAAAAAAAGAATCTGAAGAAACACTATTCTCACCTCTGAAACATATTGTGATTGAACACTTCTAGTGTCAATATAAGTGTAAGTGCTTACATTTGTCTTCATGATCTCTTCCTATAATTGAACAGAATAAAAATGAATACATAATGTTCATTCATTAAAAGTTGATATAATTCACCTTGTTTTGGAATTCATCTAGTTGTTTTTTTAACAAATCAATTGTTTCATCCTTCTCTTTTAGATCTTCTTCAGCAGGCTGAAATATGGAAAACAAATGATGAAACTTGAATGCATCCTGTACTTATGCTGAAGAAAACAAATAAAGCTTTTCTCATTTGTAAGCCTGTTGTTTCAAGACTGAAAAATTATTATTATTAATAGCAGCAATAATGGTATTAATGAAGCCAGTAATATTTTGTTCGCTTTATTTTTTCTTATTACGGATAACATTAAAACAGCTATAGTTTGAAGTTATTATCCACACCCGCGTCCTACAGGAATCAACAATTCCCAGCTTGCACTGCCCAAATATCTCGGCAAACATCAATTGTTTTGAAAATGGCATAATCGTGTACTGTTGTTGTAAAATGAATATTGTGGAGACGTCTCGCAGTAAACTCAAGGAATCTCTAAGAAGCTTTGAAAGAGCCGAGGACATTCCATCCAATCATCGTTTGGAAGAACATTCCAAAATCTCGATGCGTAGCTTGCCAATTGGACAAATGCGAAAAACCACTGAATTAGTTATTATCAAAATCTATAAATACCTGAGTGTTTTGTACCATATTTGACAATTTTTGGAATAAGGTTCCTTCCCACTCGTCTTCTGTCTCCTAACTTGCGACTTGGAGGGTTCTAGCGTTCGAACGCTAAAGTTGTATGCGGTTTGTCAAAAATCTAAGTTCTACATATAACAAATATCAAGGCCAGTAACTTGTGCGATGATTCAGTTTTTAATAACAATTAACGCTAGGTATCACACTATCGCCAGTTTAGATCTGATTTTGAACGTGATCACAACTAACGATAATTTATTCGGTGCAAAGAGTGCACCCAGATATATTGAGCACACATATCGATAACCAATCACGATTTTTTAAATATTTATTATCATACTCTCAAAATGTATCGCCACGAGTAAAGAAGAATAAACAATAACCGTTTTAATGTCAACCTTTTTCTTAACAAGGTCTTACTTAAACGAGTCACATACACTAAGTTTTGTGGAATGATTCGTGTTGAGAAAAGGGGAAAAATTGTAAGAGACAGAACTTTGAAAACTGTCCTTCCGTAGTGGTTACTCATTGTACTTCTGTAACTTTTAATACAAATAAATTCTGTTGTCTAATGAGAGTATTCATCCTAGCCAGACAATTAGGAAGCCAATCCACCTGGTTATCACGATAGCCTAATGCACGTTAAGCATTAACAGCTAGGTGTGACTTCTAAGTAAGTTAGGAGGTCACACCATTCCCATCCCACACGAGTAGGCCAACAATCATCGACACAGATCACATACTTTGGTTATATATATTCACTAAATAATTGGTTTGTGTTATCTTAATATTGTCTTAACTGTAAGCTTTCATTTAACTCACTAACCGTTAATACATCTCTCATTGTTCATGGATAACATTTGACTAATAATTTACCTGGAATTTTTAACTACGGTGCGTTATAGTCTTGTAATTGATACAAATAATCATACTATAACTGTGCTGTGGAAATAAGTGTTAGAGCTGTGCAGCATAAAATAGAAACCACAATTGATGGTACAATGTAGTAACCAGATAGAGAAGATTATTTACCCGCTGTAAAGCCAGACATATTGCGTACAAAGAGTGAACACCCAAGTAAGCTCTCTCCTTTTCTCATTCAGACCTGCCCCATTTAGAATGTTCTCTCAGCCGAAGCGACCACAGCCTCCTCAGTGGATAGCTTTAAGAGGAGACTTGACAAACACGTACTCACTCATGTATTACAACCTCCTTCTTGGACAAGCTGTCTCATGCATGTCTCATAAATAGCTACGTCGTCATTACCGCATAAGAGTAACTACTTCCTATCTCTCTTTGTATCATCTCCGCCTACCCTCTTATTCTTTCACTTCCGTCTTCTCACATTGTCTGCACTACCAATCAATTAACATTTTATTCTTCAAGCAATCGTCTTCCATTAGCACTCGAATAATCACATTATTATTTTTACATTGAAACCAACTAGCTTCATACCTCGTAATGTGATTACACCTGGTATCCAGAAATGCTACTAAAATGGAACAAATGTACTTACTCAAATTACAAAATATACAAATCCAAAAATAACCGTCAAACTGATTAGAATTAGTGCAACGGAGTGACTAGGCTACCACCCACTGGACATTACCAAATACCTGGAACAATAACCTATCGGTTTTCACAAGCTCATAACAAAGATATTAAGAAATTGGATATTAAATGACACTGAGATATTCATGCTAAGTCCAATGTCAGACTGGACAGTCCTTATTTTGAACCACTTGTATAAATTAATTTTCATAGCCGAATTCGTAAAAACAAACATATTCAGAGAAAAAGACTATGATAGTTTCAATGAAAAATGCTTGAAGCACTTCAGATAATTGGAGAATTTAAAGGGCATAAAACAGTAAGACACTAACAAGCATTAGTAATTGAGTTACAAAACATCTTTTGTAAGTCAAAACATAGCTGTTTCACTTAGAAAAAATAGAGAACCATGAATTATGTTTTAATAAGATATTCCAATTTTCGGTAACAGGTTGTGGAGATCGTTGAGTTTCATTGATATCACCAACAGATCTAAGTTAGACCACTATTGGAAATCTAGAAGCACTGACGGCTGTTTCATCCTAGTATGGGACTCCTCAGAAGTGCGCATCCACGAACTTGCATGTGAAAATCAAACCCAGGACCTTAAGTCCCACACGTGAACGCTTAGCCTCCATGCCACTGCGTCGTAGACCGAGGGCCCTGAGTTCGATTACCACGTACGAGATCGTGGACGCGCACTTCTAAGGAGTCCCATACTAGGGCAAAACAGCTGTCCAGTGCTTCCAGACTTTCAGTTCATGATTTCAAAGATAATATTAACCTTGATACACACCCACCCTTTCAAAAACAGCTATAGATTAACAAGACTAACCTTAGTGGATGAATAACTTTGTACTAACTGTGTTTGATAGTCCAGAAAACTTATCACTTTTTGTCGCAGTTCATCGTCCCTAGATATAGAATAAAAATGCAAATATATATCAGCAAAACTATGTTTTCGTTAGTGGATTAAATAAATGTTGGATGCTGATTGAATATTCACCGTAGTGGAATAAGGTATTAGTTGTTTAATATGAACGTACAATATGTAATTAAGTTACCATATAATCGTGAAGAATATCAAGTTTTGTTTTCCATACACTTTAGAGTCCATTGGTCAAGTTGACAGTGCGACCAATAAGCTAGTTTTCTACAAATTACAGTGCATTGTATTTAATGGTTCAACGCAGTCAACTAGACGCATCTCAAAGTATATTACAATATTGTACCTATTAGTAAGACAAGTTTTAAAAGTCAGAGCGATTAATATTTTATTAAAAATTTGAAGTTCTATCAGCCAGAGAAGTTATCAGATACGTTATCGTTACCATTGTTATTATTAATACTAACAACTACGTTATTCAGAGCAATCAGCATTGTAGCCAAGTATTATTTCTATTGGTCATTTTCAATCTATGAAAACTAGTATGATATTAGACCATTGATTTTGGGATTAGTTGACCAAACTTAACGGGTAAAAGTGCTCGGTGTTTATTTGGCATCCATAGTATACCAACAAATCTACAGGGATTATTCTTCCTATGAGTTACTCACTTACTTACGCCTGTTACCCCTACGAGTACACACTAGTAAAATTCTTTTCCAAAAAGTGCAAATTTTGCTAAATACTAAAAGAAACTATTTTCTTTGACATTCAGGATCACTATTAAAATGGATAGAAATTAATTATGCTGTCTAAAATCATTGATAAGACACTAATTATATCAAAATCCATATGAAAATTCTAATGATATCTGTAATTTGATATTGAATACGTCTGAAGTTTAATAACCGTAAAAGTAGTAAATAAATGTTTATGTTGACACTGATAGTGTTTCAAATAATTCCTTGTTTAGGAAGTTCTAGATGAGTAGCTATTTAAAAATACTTAAAAAGTGCATTAAGGTGATTAATAGAACAATACATTGAAGATCTATTAAGAAAAATCTATGAAATGATTATGAGCAAGTTTAAGTAGGTGAATTTAGGGAATTCAGAAAAGTTACCCATTCAGTAGTGCTAAAAAGCTTTCAAATTCCATAGCAAATAGAGTAATGCGTTTTTGTATTGGTTGTTTCAATCTCCCCACTGACGTCTAGGACTGCAATCGATTAGTCTCTTAGTGATAAATACACATCCTGAGAGGATTGCCTCGATATTGCCAACAAGTAACAAACATTTTTATGTAGAGATGGATAATGGCCATCAATGGAATTTAGGACGCGCGTTCTGCCTTATTTGGGACCCGTAAGCTTGATGTACCTGCATTCCAGAGTTGTTCACTCCAGGACTCGAACCCAGTACTGTTTTCTTCACACAAAATCGCACTATCCACCTAGCTAGAGTCCATATAGCCACTAGCTTTTGCGATGGGATGAAGTTTAATTCATTTTTGTATTGATTGTTCGATTCTTCCAAATGATATTTAGGACTGGAATTGATCGGTCTCTTATTATAGGACGGAACACGCGTCCTGGATTACACTACTAGCCACCAACCATCTTTGCTTAAAGAACAGGTTAATGGTTATAATGCTATCATTTGAAGCAAACAAATTTGCTTATTTTAATTTATGAACCCAAACTATCCGTGAATTAATGACTGGAAAAGTGTGAAGATTTCTATTTCATAGGTCCATCGAGAGAAAAAAATTCATTTATCACATATCAACTTGTTAGGCTGGTTGTAAATCATAAATAGAGGTCATTCAAACGTTTTCGTCAACTTCTAAGAGATGAAGAATTAATGAGATAGACCAAGTGTTTGTACATATTTGCATCTAGAAATCCAGTAGTATAAACAGACTATTTATTGAAGCTAAAAAAAACTAAAATGCAACAAATACAAGCCCATTCACTGGTAATAAAGATTGTAAAATGACTAAAGAACAAAATCGTAGTCAAAAGTCCTTTATCGAATCGTTAGAATATGACTGTAGTGAACGAGAACACAAGTGGTGAATAACCGACTCTATTTTACAGTATCTTGGTAAAACATAAGAACCATACATAAAATACTCTATTTGCAAATATTCCATCAACTGTCTCCAACTTTATCGTTCCTTCATTTCCACAAAAATTACTCTCTCCACTCGTTCTCTTCGATCCGATCTTCCCAACCTTCTGTCGCCGGGTATTCCTCTTCTGACTGGTGTTATATACTACTTATGTCGACATAAGTAACATCCACCACATGACCAGCAGTGGAATCTAGGACGCGCGTTTCGCCTTGTAAAAAGTCTATGGCATAATGGCTATATCGAGGCAATTCGCATAGAATGGATATATACCAACTGGAGAACTCTAATCATTACAGTCAAAATTAAAATCATTGTCAATTCCGGACGTAATGGAAAGGAATACGAAATGAATAAGCAAAAGTTTAGAATTTTAAATAATGATTGAAAACAGTTGTCATTTTATTGCACTATACCCTCATTAACTAAAAAAACTAATGTCCGAAAAAATTAAATCAATGATAGTTGTATTATGAACACCTTGTGAATTAAGCTACTTAGTATTCAATTAAAATGATTGAATAAGGCATCACTAAAATAGATTAAACTACTTACTACCTTGTGTACAGTAGTACACAGAGATTTTAAGGAATTTCCAGCAAAAAATTACAGATTAACAACACTATTTTTGAAACTAAAGACAATAAAAAGATCTTTTTGTTTCTCTTTCATATAATTAATATATTACAGCTTTACATTGATAACTCTTCGGTTTGTAAAATTAAATTCCTGTCTTATTAGTGATTCATGAGTGTCACATTTTATTGAACAATGAAAACACTACCACGAATGTGTTATATTGTGGAGTGGGTTACTTATACCCACACAAGTAGTATATAACGGTGGTTAGGCATACAATATATTTCGGTAGAAGGTCGATGAGGAAAGAACGAAAAAGGAACTCAAATAGTATGAAAACGCATGAACAATGAAATCTCAGATAATGGATTGATATTTGCAACAGGAACAATCAAGCTTAAGATGATGGATTGATATTTTGCAAATTAACGATTTACTATATTGTTCTCAGATTTTATTGAGACGCTCTGTAATTTTGTACTCAAATACATTCGATTGCCCCCACCGGTGTTCTTGTTCACTACAATATGAACTTGAAAACCATAAATTCTTATTCAGTTTAATTCATATTGATTGGCTATCAAGAAATAAGAATAATAACATTCGAAGAATAAGACCTGGTCATTCGATAAAGATCTCAGAATGAACTAGTTTAATAAATTGACAGAATTTAAAGAATTGGTGGTTATTCTTATCAATGTTCTAGATTCCATTGATCTACTAAAATGAGTTCCCTCAGTAATCTTCATCGAATTACCGAATTACTTCATCCAAACATTGTGATTTCTGTTTTGATTATATTTGTGAAGGGAAAAGTTGCATAATTACTTTTCATTAGTCAAGACTGATAAACACAAAGGTACTTCCGGTTACTATCAGAAGACGACTAGCCACAACTGTTGTACTTAGACATTATAAAGCTAATGGTAGTTATAATTTTTGGGACAAGTTTAAGAACATTATGAATAAGTGTTACATCTTCAATCTAATGGTGGTCAACCAAAGTATCCGAAAAACTACATCAAAAGCATTATTAGAATAAATATATAACAAAAACTCAGAATTAAACAAATCAGTAGACAAATAAATTCCATGATAGACATACTTTATTGTTAAAGGATTTACCAAAGGAGGTTCATTCAGAAAGAGATGAATAACAGCTTCCTGAAAAAAAATATTTGTATTTAAAATGGTATAAGTTGAATCGTCACGTTTCTTTTACCAATATTAAATACATAATGAGTAAGACTATAATGTTGAGTCGGCTTCCGAGAACTACAACGGAGCTTCCAGAGGCCCTAAAGAAGCCGAAGAGTTTTTATCCAGTCAGAATATGATGGAGCTTTCTATAATATCAATGTGACATGCTACTATTGGATAGTAGCATAATATGTCACGTTGCGGATTGGGCTAATTATAATATTGATTTAACAAATGCTAATATCTATAAATACCCGTGATTTGCTGCACATCTCGATTCTTACCAAATAAACACTTTTCCAGCTTTTTTTCTGTCTTCTGATATGCGCGGTGAAGTTTCAACGTTCGAGTGTCGTAGTCGCAAACCGTATTCTGCGTTAATCAAACAGCGAACTTAACACTATAGAAATAATCTGAATTTTATCTTAAATATCGATAAATTTTTATGCTCCTGCTAAAGAAAATACATTTTTCTGGAATACATCACAATTCAAACTTACGAGGGAGAAAACGTCCGTCTACAATATACAACAAACTAATATTAGGACATTTGTTCATCTAATATGAGACAAAGTATCACATATTGGTAGATTTCAGGTAGCTGAAAACAGATGACTTTAAATTATTCCTTCTTCGTAGTGGAATCAACATAGGTGAGCATCCCTAGCTCAGTTGTGACATCTCTGTGTTGTTAAATGGCATATGTTTGAATGAGAAACAAATTAAACCTACTCAAATGCCCAAGTTCATCTTGTAATCAGATATACAATACTACGAAACATGAGTTTAGTTTTTGTAGGCAGGAAATATTTTGAATCTGTTTGAGTTACTAAAACAAAGAGAGCCCCTAGCTTTTGGATACTTTTGCGTACAGACAGCTTAGAGATGATGGTGCTGAATAAACACAATTAGCATTTCAAAATGGACCAGTATAGTATAAATGTGTATTCTACCGTACAGGATTAAAAAAGCCATATCTTACAAAATGCCATAAATATTCAGCGATGAATACCAATTCTAGCAAAATATGAAAATTGTTCACATTGTTGAAACCCACTGACCAGATACTGATTCGGTCAAACTGTAGGACCGATACGTATGTAGAAAGCATATAATGGATTTTATTTTATGTTAATTCTCACCTATCTACATGAAGATCAGCCTAACTGAGTTAAATAAACTAAGTCAATCATTAGGTCAATTCTCACTCTCAATTAATTTCTCATTATTTAATACATGAAACCCGCGTCATGTCAACTATTAAATGGGTTGAACATAAAACTTTCGTTGTATTACACATTTTTCACGACCTAAACCGTATAAAATCACGGGAAACATACCCATTAGGAAATGAATGATATAAAAATCAAAACTTACAAGGTCTGCAATTCGGTTTAATAGATTTAGGTTATGCGTAGATAGTTCTGCTACCAAGTTTTCGTAGGAGTTGAATTTATCAGAGTCTTTGTCGAAAAAAATATATGAAACCTACAGAACGTACCATCATCACGATTATCTTTCGAAGGAGATTTTTCAATATTATTCTGAGGAAGAAACAAACGGAAATCAACTGTTTTTACTGCAAAGCATAGTGCGGACATCCAATAAAAGGTTACTACAAATTTTTTCTGAATCAAAAGATATAAATCTAGGCTAAGTGTCTAATGACATGAATTTTTAGCGTAACAGCTAATTAATTACAAATGCTATGCTAGGTAACTGAATGGATAGATATAATCAATGAACGCAGGGAAACACCGAAATGAACATGTAAAAAAACAACATAAGTCAACAGAAAATTCAAAGTCTTGATGAATATCAAGGACTACTACATATAATCTACCATAAAAATGTTGGTCCACGTAACTAGAAGTCTTGATTCACCAACGTCAGGATTCTTTAAAATCCTAGTTAGTACTTTTATACTTTCCTAGAAGGCTCAATTCCCCTAAGTGTCAACGAATTGTGGAAGTTATTTCATTTCCAGTTGCTCTTTTAGACGTTAATATATTTTGGCAATAAAGAAGTAGGTGGTGATTCTGCATAAACGGTAAGGATTGAATTTGATTATACGGTGGTCGAAAAATATACAAAACAGGTTCATGTGCTAGGCTTTAAACCACCTATTGTTTGATTGAAGTAAGATCTATCGCATGGAAAGTGCCCTAACCATACGAGCTCCCTAGACAATGGCACACGACTCAGTGGCATGTGAAATGGAGCACCACCGGCTGGAATGTAAAGGGCAAGACATTGAATTAGTTGCAGTATAGAGCAGTCCAGGATGCTTAATGGATTATTTTTCCTTGAATAAACTTAAATCCTAGTCAAACAGGTGTAAAAGCCTTATGGTAGGTGACTTTAATGCACTCTCTATAAATTGGGGTAGCTTAGAAGTAGGGACATCAAGACGTCGTTTAATTACAAATTGTTAGGAACTACAATCGCCCTAGCTTTATTCCAGCACATTAGCGATTCCATAAGATACGAAACTTCTCGTATCTCTTGAACTTGGTTTTTACACATGATGATGATGTTAGTCAAATAACGTCCCTCCCACCTATTATTTATGTCAGTTGTACAATCAAGTAATTCAGCCATTTATGCCCTAAACAGTCGCAAAGAAGAAAAAGAATGATCATTCCTGTATAAACAGAGAGATTTCACATTCACTAAGACAGAAGAAAAAATGTTAGAACGTCGCAATCAGTCTTGACAAAACAAATACGATGGAACGCCACAGGTTTATCCAGAATAAATGTATTACCATAATCCAGGCAGCTCAGTGGAAATATAACAAGCAGTTGGCACGATCTGTAATTAAGCGGCCGGAGGGACTGTTATCGTACATGAATTGCAAAACATGTACGTACCATCGGATCCCCAACGTAATTACCAAAGGAAGTGCATCTCAAATAATAAAGATCAAGACAAAGCAGAAGACATGGTGGACTACTTCGAGACAGTTTCCATTCAGAGGCCGCATTTAAACGAAGAACTAGACTCAACGAAAACGTCAGAAGGTCGGCCGCTTGTTGCGTACTTTGATTAGGACAACGTACTGAGGGTAATTAGGACTTTAGGTACAGAAAAATCGACAGAACCGGATGAACTGCATCATGTAATCTAGAGACAAATTTTACAACAAATTGATGCCCTGCTGATGACAATATTCAGTATGTCACTTGGGCAAGGTGAGTTACCTATGTACTGCGAGAACGAAATTGTCACTACGATTCATAAAACAGGATCAAGACAAATTCCATCAAACTGCATACCTGTCAGTCTCACCACAGTAACAGTCTTGGAAACCAACAACTTGTTAAACAGAGAACAACCTGATTTCAGGGGAGGATTGCTTTGCACAAAAAACCTCTTTATACCTAGAGAGAAAGGGAGTATCTCTAAATAATTGGAGATCAGTGGTTGTTTTCTACATGGACCTCGGCAAAGCATTTGATAAGGTGCCGAATAATAAACGCCTCGTGAAGCTAAAAAATCTAAGAGTTGCCGGACCTCTATTAAAGTAGGTAAAGGATTTTTCGGAAGTTTGTAGACAGAAAGAATAAATTCTGAATGCTCCATCTGGAAACCAGAGCTTTGCCCCCAAATGCCCTGCTAGCCCACAAATGCCCTGGTACGGCCGAGAGTGGGGAGAGTCCGCTCTCCCTCTCGAAATGCTCTCACATGGCCATGCGTATATAGCCTCTGCCAGGGAAGTCCTACTCACCGCCTTCACGTGGCGGGGGTGTTGTTTACGAAAATGAGAGGACGAAAAGCGAATGTCCGGCGCTTTAACCGGATCTCAAACCAATGGTGCACATGGGCTCCAGTATCCTGCGCGAACAAATGGCGTATGAACCAATTTCTTGGTCACCGGCTTCCATGGGACTGCATCTCCTCACGATGCTCCACTGCCTTGTGGGTCAGACGTTCAGGTCGAAGGCTCGGGGTGTGGCCCCTTAAGAAAACCACCTGCTTCGGTTTGGGCACCCGGGCAGTATCACAGCCCTCACACAAATCAATTGAGATTCGTGTGGCGCATATGTATTTGGTGCCTCCCTGTACCTATACTTATGTGTTAAAATAAATAAATAAACCAGAGCTTAGTGGAATATCGTAAGACTGTATTCTAGGTCCTTTTTTATACTGCATGTGAATGAATTCAAAAGTATAACAGAGCCCCTGATTCGACTATACGCTGATGTAAAAATCTGGAGGGAAATAACAGAAGACGCAGATGCATGTGAACTTCAGGCGAACTTATACATGCTCATTATCTTGTCTAAAAATGCCTGATGCCTATCAATGCGGCTAAGTGCATGCACATTGAGGACAAAAAGATAAGTAGGTACAAAATACGAGAAGAGTCGATGGCCGTAGTGCGGTCTAACAGTGATCATGGGGTAAGAATGAGTCATGATCTTAAGACCACGGCCCACTGCCGTGAGGTCGCAGACAAGAAGTTCAGGAACCTATGAGCCTTAAGACGGACATATAACAAGTTGGATGCTAATATTTCCAACACAGTACACACAACCTGAATTAGATCCAGACTTAAGAACTGTGTTCGAAATGCAGGCCCCTGGTTAAAATTTGACTAGAACCTTGGAAAACGTGCAGAGAGCAGCCACCCGCGCGATTCCACAGCACCGAGGTTTACCATATACAGAGAAGATTGAGAAGCTAGGGCTCTTTATCCTGTCCTACCACAGACTGAGGGGTGATTAGATTTTAATGCACAGAACACTATAAAGTGATTTTGGACCTAATATATCCTTTTTTGCTTCCTATTATATAAGATCAAAGATCATGATGACTTAGACATAGCAAGCGAGTAAAAAATTCAAGGGCGAGCAAAATTCGCGTGCCATATATGCTGAGAAAATGTCATTCTGCGATAGGCTTCAAGTTACTTATTCAAGTAACAGTACTCCTATAACCGCTAATAAGGTCTCCAAGAGACAAGAAATTACTTTTAATAATACTAAAATAACTTCATTCAAGCCTGATAACGTGGTAGTAGTTCAGGGACAACCTGGTTTAATTACTGATATACGGGAGGACGGACTACTGAAATTTAGGTTTTTCACTGACCCACGCAATTACTTCGAAGATCCTTTCCCATCCAGTGATATAGGAATATTTATGTGCTCCGTAGTTAGCCATGAACACACATTGATATCGGTTAAGGACATTGACTGTAAATGTATAGCCATTAATTGCATCAATAATTTTGTGATAGTTCCATTGTTACATACTATACTGTGAATGTATTTCGTTGTATTTGTGCTTCATTAATCACCATAAAAAATTTCATTAACTATTATGTTATATTTAGCCCGCTAACAAACTGTACGTCATTGTTGACGTTCCTAGCAAACAACAGCTTATGATTGCAGCCAAGCAGTGGATTTTTGGCAAAGACCTTTGCCTTTTTCCAACGGAGCTGGTGGACATCCACCTCCAAAACTGCGATAAACCAGATGACAGTTGGTCACTTCTGAAATGCAAAGTAATTCATGAAATTGGTGAGTAAAATACATTTAAACTATAATTTACTGTAGATTCTCTGCAGTCTGCCAAGGACATGTTAGTGTCCCTACAAATACTGGAGCTGCATCGCAAAAACACGTCCACGGAGGAGAACACATTGCCGTTAAACACGGAAAAACCGAAGAGGTCTGTACAATATTATTACTAACATTTCTTAGAGGTCCATTAAAGCGTAAAGAAGGATTTCTTTACAATTCAGTCGATATGGATGTGGCCGAGATGCAGGCTGGAAAAAGCCATGTGCATTATCCGAAATTTCGGTTGTTTGACAAAGTCGTCTCGCCAATTACCAAGTACGTTTCATTACTATGTAAATGACAATGAAGTAGTTCGACACAATTAGAAACATCACCATCAACATTAGAATCTAAGCATGTAGACTCGGCTTCAGCGGGCCAGTAAGTCACCTGTACGATCAAGTGAAGTTCTTCAGATTTGATAGGTTGTATACAATGATGCAGAACATATCGTCAGTTATTACTGACTTGAGTACAAATGTGAAGCTACTACTAGCGAAGTTTAGTGAACGCGATCATCCTCATCAATTCGATTGCGGAGTATCAAGTCAGCAGTTCCCTTTGTCATCGGAAGAGGAACTGCAGATGCTGGACACTGGGTTGCAGCAGAAGGAAACGAGGGACAGATTTGTAAGTCAACAACATTAATTTACTAAAATCTTCGTATAACAGATGGCGATGCTGACTAGGTTAATGGGTGATGACCCTAAAACGTCAATGCGTTACGTTTTGTCGTACATCATGACACCTGAAGTGGCCAGTAATTTCACATTGCTCGGCACTTCTTCCAAGCGCGCACTTCAGAAATACCGGTTTTATGGCTGCATACGAAGTAACCTATACTTATAAATTAAACTTTAGGTGCATTGACGAATCGCTTATTGTCATCCTCCGTTAATGAAAAAGACCTTGCGAAGCTATACGACATCGCGACACAAGGTTATTTCCATGACGTCAGAGACAAGTTGATGAAGCGTAATCGACGTAAACAAGAGCAGGTATGTACTAATTTAAAGTGATAATTTCCCTACTGCTTTATAGTTGCAGACAACAGTCTTAACGAACATAACCGTAAGTTTAGCTTAAAGCATTGGTCTGTGTCTTGGAACATGCTTCAGCATGTTTTTCAGATGTCGTTTTGACTTTTTATTTTCTTTACTATTCAGAATTCACAGGACGACTGCTTTCACTGACAATAACCGAACATACGTTGCTGAAGAATGTAGTCGGTGCAATTTTGTTTGACGTTGTACTTAATATTTAATAAACATTTTTTCGTTAGAGATCTTAATTTCTTACTCATTCTCAGTGAACTTGCGATTAAATGCACATGTGTTTTAAATAATACATCACCTGTTACTTCTGTTGCATATCTTTTCAAAGCACGACGAATTGGCAATTACAATTGAAATGCTAAACGACTGATGCTCAAGCTTCCGCTATTATGTTGTCAAATAATACGCTTTTCCTTTGAAATAAAAATATTTAAACATATTTGGCGCTTTTACCATACATTGCAGTTTCACTAGTGAAACCGACCACAGCTGTGGTTGGTTGTATAAATGAAAGCGAATTTTGGAGACTTTTCGGGTAATTCCAAAGGCAAAAATCAGGCAATTTAAAGTATATTTAGGCGAAAAGTAGACAATTTGGCGGATACTTAGGCGAAAAGTAGACAATTTGGCGGATATTTATGCGAAAAGTAGACAATTTAGCGACAAGGCGACAAAAAGGGGGAAATCCGCATCATTTCCCCCGGACAGGCGAAAAAGGAGACATTTCGGCGCGTTTTCCCCTTTATTTCCCTTTTCTTTACCAAAGCATTTTCCCCCTTTATTACCCCATTTTTCGCCTTTATTTCCCCTTTATTGGTTGATTGGGTACAAGCTTTCACCTGAGTCATCAATTCTTAGGACCTGTTAAGCGAAGTGTTGTCTGCCCCTTTAATTGACTCATTCAAGAAAAAATTAAAAATTTCTGAATCGGCGAGTTATTTCATAAATTATAATTTCACTTCTGAATATTCACCACATCGTGGTGATTACAGAACTTACAGATAGACTTTCATGTGATGATTCGAAATGCACCATAAGTGAGTCTGAATTCGAGAAAGACTCCAGACACTCAGGGCAAACGAAACCGGATACTGCGTTGTCTAAGCAAATAACAGCAGATGAGAAACATACTTTCAGCTGACATACGACCTTGAGTTGACCTTGAAAATATAACAATTTTCCACCTTCATCATTTTAAGCTAATTGAGCGAAGCAAACAAATGTACATTCAGAATTTAAGGTTTCCTTGTTTTTTAATATAGGCAGATAGCGAAATAAATATCATTGTGCAAGGTATGCCAGGAAACACGGGTCTTGATCATACAAACTTTGATATTGGGGAGTGGAACCTCACCCAGCAGTCGTTGGAGCTCAAAAACATATTGGTGAGACCAGCTAAGAAGGACAGGAACTCTGCACCCCGGCTGATGAAGATAACCTTTCCGTCCTACTATATGGTGGATGCGATTCTCTAGGCATTTCATACCGGCAAACGCAAGTCGACAACTGGAATCGGTATTCATGAACATTGGCTTCATAGTGCTAGGATTAAGTACGAAAGCGAATTAAAGCTAACTATTTCGGTTATGAACTGTTGAGAACATGGGAAAAAATGTTGAAAGGACAGGGGTTAACAACTCGGAAAACCCTGTGGAGGTAGGTGGCTTGTCCAATAATATAAGGCTCATACAGAAGAAGAAGAGAGCTCACGCGTTTCAAGTCGAAGGAATACACTGCCTATATACGAACTCCGCGAGTTTAACGAATAAAATGGATGATTTGCGTGAACTCAGTAATGTTAATAATACTCTTTCGATAGGTATATCTTAAACATGGACAACTCAAATTACAGACCAGGAGCTAGTAATACCCGGGATGTCTTTGTATCGGCACCGAATTTGACAATCGCATGCTGGAAGAATTATCCAGCCCCACTCGTCTCGAATACACACATATCCTTATTCCAGGAGACTTCAATCCTCACGCACGTATATTGAAGGTGACAATTCCATTAAATCTCCGTTCTTCAACCCCACTAATGTGAAGTTAGCAACTCGCTAGAGAATTAGTCACACGCATTCACACTTGAAATGCACGTTTACAAACGAGAAATTCCTAATCGACAACCTCTCAATCTTGGCTCTCTTGAGTAAAGGTGGTCATGTCGTCAGAGCCTTCAATTTTATCAGCAAAACTGAGTTAAAACATCTTACCAACAAGAGGCGTTGAAGTTTCAAACGGTTGGATGTGTTAGCTTCACAGATCAATCTACAACGAGTAGACTGGAAGCCCACCCGAAATGTGATGTGGACTGTCAATGGGTTTTCTTGCTGCACGTGCTACAAAGTAGTCTGTCCCACAAACGATCCCCCACACATTACACGTGACCTACAGCCATCAAGAATGTTATTCTTTGATTGTCAAGAAATAAAAGGCCCTGCTGGGTGGAATATAAACAAACTTGTGAAAAAAGTACATATTAGCAATTCAAACAAGCAAGGAGCCAATGCTCAAAGGCAGTAAAAGGGGACATACTTCAATATCAAACAAAGCTAATGGATCAATTCTTCTCCGATCCGAAAAGCTTATTCTGTGATGCAGCCTCTGTTCGACAAGCCAAAACCGGTGATTCTCAACTGCTAGTTTGGTTCACTTCATATCTACAAATTTGATATTTCAAGGTCAAGCTTAACTTCACTTTTTCTCCGACTTTGGAATGTCCTAATGGAATGTCTCAGGGTTCAGTACTAGGACAACGAGAACCGAATAACAGTCCACCATAGATAACTAAACCAGTCAGAAAACTTCTTGGTAGAAGGAAGAAGCACTGGAATATGTTCATCTCTACTGGCTTAGAACAATACAGATCCAGTTATTGTAAGACTAGGAATGCCTGTAAAGCGTCAATAAGTATGACTAGATGATCATACGAAAAGCAATTGGTTAGGGATTCTAGATATAGTCCGAAACGGCTATTCTCGTATATAAAAAGGCGAACTCAGAGAAGCAATGGAATTCCATCACTTTTGATACAAGAAAATCCCTTAATCTTGGCAGAAAATGATACCGAAAAAGCTGAAGCTTTATCTGAATATTTTAGTAAAGTGTTTTCTATCACTAATGAGGAACGACCAACGATTCATTATGATCGTAACGGCTCGCTGATGGATCCTGTGGTCACTGAGAAAGGTACTGTTTTAAGGCTACTTCAGCATATCAAACCTGATAAGTCCAGTGGTCCTGATAATATTCATCCTAGGATGATGAAAGCCATATCAGACGTGATCGCTGAACCACTATCTCTGAGATAGTCCAAACTGCCCATATACAGGAAAGACGCTATAATAAGTCCGGTTCATAAGGCTGGGAGTAGGAATTTAATTAGTAACTATAGACGGTTAGCTTGACTAGTGCGATTGTAAAACTGATGGAAAAAATCATTCGGATATCTGTTATAATCTATGTTGAAGGGCGTAATCTTTTCTCCAGGGAACAACATTGTCTTCGGAGAGGCCTATGATGTTTCACGCATCTACTCATTGCAAGAGAAGATTGGGCTGCTGCAAGACATCAGAATATTCCTGTAGATATGATCTTCATAGGCCTAAGTAAGGCCTTCGATAAGGTCTTCCATTCTGGTCTTAAATTCAAACTGGAATGTTTCTGAATCCATTATACAGTCGTAGATTGGATAAGTAACCGTCTCTATGACAGGAGTCAAAGGGTAAGGGTTAATGGAGCTCTCTAAACGTGAGTACCTGTAAAAAGTGGAGTTCCCCAAGGTAGAATCTTTGATCCTCTTCTCTTTTTACTTTATGTAAATGAATTACCAACTGTAACAAAATCACACGTTCTACTCTTTACTGATGACATTAAAGATGCCACAGGTATTCGGAGTTTGACAACGCTTTAACCAGTAAAACCTTCTAATATGAAGCACACCCACCAAGTGAAATCAAAATACAGAAGCGAGGAGATCGAAGATATATTTGATAAGCTCTCAATATATCGAGGATCGTTTGAGCTAATCTGGCTAGCGATTGTGATAGATGTTGAGCAGGGCGTTCCCACACGTGATTTGGTGCGGATGCTTGACCGAGCGCCTTGAGCTACATGAGTTCACTAAAACTGTGTTCAGCATCCAATGTCGAACACTTACAGAGCTATTTATTTTGGAGATTTACTTACCGCTAAAATTTAAAAATTTGGAGACACATGCACAGTATGTCGGATAAAAGAGCATTACAGGATGACCTTAGCTCATTGGTGACACGGTTGGACAGGTGGTCACTTGATGTAAATCCTAATAAGAGTGTGGTGATGCAATTAAATAACAATGATGAATCGTACCACTATACAATATGCGGATTCGTGCTACCCAAAGTAAGAAACGTCAAAGATTTGGAAGTCATATTAAGCAGTGATCTCAAAACCACTAGTCACTGTATGACCGCTGCCGCGAAAGTCTATAGGGTATTATGGTCTATTCGTAGGTGTTTAGATGATGAAATGTTTAGATTATTATACCCGATTTACGTGCGACCATATTTAGAATATAGGGTTCAAACGGCGAGTCCTTTTTCAAGTATGAAGCAGATATGCATGAAAGAGTCCAACGATGAGGCACTAAGATGTTACAACGTCTATCTTGTCTATCTTATGAAGACAGACTGAGATACCTTAATTTATTTCAGTTATCGTAGAATACGGGGTGATCTAATATTGGCTTATCGTATACTGAACGATGACCTTGATATTAACATGTCTTATCTTTTACTTCCGTCTAGGACTGATCATTTGAGAGGACATTAGAAAAACGTTCAAAAACCGAGATCAAATCGTTTACGTCTGGAGTTTCGTTTCTCGCACCGAGTATTGAATTAATGGAATTCTCTACCAAAACACGTAATGCCATCACCTTCTGTTTATATATTCGAAACGAGATTGGACCTCCACAGTATTAAAAACTGCAATGATTAATATAGGTCGATAGACTTCACATCTTTATTAGTGAAGACAGATTTGTCAAAATTTCTTCTTTCCTCTTTCATTTTTAATATATCTAGGCTCCTACACGGAGGCATCAGTGGTGCATTACTGCTAGATACGGAAGCCCATTAAACGAACGCTTCTTCCATTCCGTCCAGAACCATTTGAACCATTTGCTGAAGAAGAGCATTTGCGTGGGAGATTTATCTTCACAAGGTCGTGCCCAATGTTGACCCTCATACTTTCGTTTTTATTGTCGCCAGTTTCAGTACGATATAATAACTTGGTTTTAAATTCAAAAGGCTTTAGATATCTCTGGTTACACGCTTGAACATAGGTTCGGGGAGAGTAGGTTCTGTATCTTACTTTATATTTAGTAGATGGGGTTTTCAGTCAAATGGATGGAACTTCGATCAAATCATCATCTGGAGTTCTAAATTTAGTTTCCGGGGGTCACGTCTTTTCAACTGATGAAAAACAACAGTTGCAGGTATGTACCCTCAATTTCTAACCTTTCAAGGAGTCTGCAAATGCGGGATACATGTATAGCATTCGTATACCTGTTAAAAACGAAGAATATATTGAAGCTTCGATTCGTTCGGTAACAGAATTTCTCATCTAGCATTTTCAAGTGCCAAATTATTGCCTCTAGGATGAGATTGAAGCTCACTGTTAGCGTTAATGACGCTGGGGATCCAATTGCAATACATATGAGCACTCCGAAGTATGATTGCTCATATGACATTCCTGAGAGTTTTATGGACCTCCCAGATTTATCCATTAGTTTGGCGTTACAAAAACCAAAATTAGGACCAAGGTATTAATCATGTCAATTTATACTGTTTAGTCCTGAAACTGCAAAGTATCTAGAGAAACTCGAGAAGCAACGCGAGGAGATGGCTCGTGCTGAGCAAAGTGACAATCGTTCTTTCTTTGCTAAATATGTAAGTATTGGTGTGGGTATATTTCTTATAGGAACGAAGTGTGTTTAGCACATCCTCTGTTACTAGATCCTCTAACGGTGTTCGTTGTTATTTGTTTCAGAGGAAAGGAACTAAGGCTTTTTAAATTTTTGAAGAATGTCACGCATAAATTCTGCATATCGTCTTGTCATCCTATCAAGTACAGAATCTTATATGTAGGTGCACTGTAACTAGAGTCATTCTGAGCTTTTTTTATCTACTCTCCACTATGCTTGGACTAGACAACCTGTCCAACCATTTGTTCATGTATATAAATTTGTCAGAGTTTCGCTATGCTATGAATGAAAAAGTAAGCTTCAACAAAGTTAACTGCTGCTTATCGAATTCATGGTCAGAGTAAACGATAAGCGTGACTGTAGTGACCGAAACATTTCTACTTCAATAGTAAGTGGTTGTACTGGATCTCAGTTGTGCATTCTGTTGTTTAGGCCGGAACCCAATTAAAGTCTCATAATGAAAAACGTTTAAACTTGACGTACATCAATTCCAGTTGCCATACCACATTAGCACAGAGTTTCAGTTATCGATTCAAATCCCGTAGTGGAAGAGGTAGTGATAGGGAACATTAGGGTTTGATGATGTTATTTAAGGATTATCGTCCAGTGGAATAGATTTGGAAAAAAAAAAGGACATGAAGAATACAGAAGATTAGAGTTTGAGAGAACACAGAGAGTGGATGCACCTGCGCCATTGCAAACGATTTTGAGCCATGTCATTCAAAGTCTCTAACCATCGGTTGCTATGATCTCGCGGTCCCCAACCAAGTAGTCTACATCTACCAACATGGCTCAATCCACTTGTCAGTGACTTCATGGATTTGTGCCATGTTTTGGTCTGGCCGCCCCTAGCTTTCTTCCAACCTACTACACCAGGAAACATAGCACGTCGGGGCAGTCGGTAGTCCATATTAGGTATGTTAATTTTAAAAATTTTTAGTGCTACTGATCTAGCTCCATGTAGTCATCAATATAAAGTACCAATGCTATGTTTGTTAGTAAGAAACCCTTGTGGATTACTGCTAATTAGGAGAATCAGATCTTCAGACCTAGACGATTTGGTTTCGATTCCTAAAGTTTCTGAAAATATCCTCAGATGCTCATTTTGAACTGTGAAATAAAAAAAATGGATAGATAAGTTTGTTTCGTGATTAGTGATGCTTGCGTCCACAAATTAAAGCAGTTCAGAAAACAACCCAATATTCACATTTTTTAAACACCAAAAGATTTTGGTCGTAGTCGAAAATGTGTTTTGATGTAGCAAGTACCTTTACTGTTTATTGTTTCAAAAAAGTTTCATCATCTAGGTTATTCTTGGCGGAATCAATTCACTGTCATACATGACTTCTTCGTTTCTAGTCTTTCACTTATTTAAACTTCGTTTTCACACGTCTTAAGTAACTTTCTCTCTTGAACTTTCTCTGCCTTGCACCTGTATAGTGGGTGTTGTTTATAGTGCCCTGCAACAAAGTTTCAAGATCTCAACTTGCAATGAGTGCTTGGTTGTTTTCGAGTTTGACTCTATATGTACTCATATTTTTACTTTAAATAAAACTAGAATACTATATACCTTCAACTGTCTCATATAACGCAAAAAAATTAAATCCGATTTCAATGCTTCCTGGTTTATTCTTAAGTCCCGAGTGTAAGTCATACAATAGAATCTACTCCGATCTACAAATACAATGTTCACTGTTTTGTTTTTATTGATAGCTATAGCCTGTTCGATTAAAACCTACCGAGTGGGGGCCACCTGCTTTAAAACTTACTGTTCCCATGATATAAGGCCTTTTTGGTTCTCGTGATGCAAGTCAGCAGGATGGGTAGTCTTTTCAAGTACTTTGACAAATATACTGTTAAAACTAATCAGTTGGTATTTATTTGCCAGATATCTATCTCATTTTTTAAAATCAAAACTGGTAACAGCATCGTCCTATTACAATTAGATGCAGCACATCAAATCCCATTAAGAGCATATTTACTTGGCTTACCATTAATGCATTGCTTCTACAAATAGGCACTAGTTGCTTTCACTCTAGACCTTAGTGTATATTGGGTAATGAAGTTGCTAGTCAAGCTACAAAAAATAACACGAACTACAGATGCTCAACCATTAAGCTCGTGCTCACAACCAAAAGCGTCACAAATTAAGGGTTTATAGTGTTTACAATTAAATTAACCATATAAGGACAGATACCAATAATAAACTCCCTTAGCTGATCTGCTTCTGTCACGCAGCATATGGCTTTATCCCGACAAATCCGTAATTTCTCGAAGATCACGTATAATACACGTCTCAGTCATGACTACATCGGCTGAACATAACACGTCCAATGACCACTCTGGTTCACAGAATTAAATCTAAGACTACAAACATGTTCAAAAGCCGTATACAAGCTTTGTATCCAAGTGACGTGTTTACACAGGTTTCAGCATAATTAGTTTTCAAAGTTTGATTATCCTAAAACCCTTTCAAGTTTTATCTTTCTGTTATCGTATGTGATGTCTCGTTTAGTCAGCCATTCCTGTCGATGTTTCTTTAAATCCGGGCTATTAGACTTTAGTTAATGTACAAATATGTTTTGTACAATTAACTTTTTATCATTCTAACACTATAGTTCACTGCATTATGATTGAACTTCATCTTATTATTCTTTGATTGTTTGTCGCTATCTGCTTTACTATAAAATAAGTTTGTTGAGTTTATTATCTTAAATAAATGGAATACACCCATTGAAACATTAAATAAGAAAGATTAGTTCAGCGAAGAGTTCTCTTTTTGGCGAATTCATTTTCAAAGCTGTGCAATCGCAAATATATGTACTTATTTTTACAGGATGATAATAGTACTGATAATAAACTTGTTATACATGGTGACAGTGAGGTTAAATAAACAAAAGTATTTAAAAAAATTTTAAAACAAGGAAAGTTTGATAATCGTTTAATTGTTAATGGCTTAAATATTTATCAAAACATAGATAGGGAAATTATAATTGGGAAAGGATGGCTCAGCATGATAAGATAAAATGTTGAAATTGAGATTAAATGTAATCAGGAGGATCGTAGAAACAGAAATAAACCAGTTGGGGGTAGATTTAAGGGAAAGGTGGAAGGTGAAGCAGATGGCTGTAAAGGAACAAGAGAAAAATTTTAATACATTAAGACCAAGGTAGAAGAAAAGGCTGTACCAGTCTCTTCTGCACACATAATTCTGGTTTTTCCAGATGTATGGTTATTGCTTCGGCGATGCAAAGAAGATGCAGTCTAATTGCCTTAGGAAGACTTCTACTTACCTTGTAGATGACTTTGAACGCAGAGTCTGTCTGGATTGAGTGACCTGTGTTCACAAGGTGTTCCATTATAGAACTTCTTACTAAGCCGTTGCCTCCTCTTTTTAGCCACGCTGGACAATGTTCTTGAATTCTTTTGGATAAAGTACGCATCAAACGACCTATATACCTAGCTCTACATGAGCAGGTAAATTGGTAAATACACATTGAGTTGGTCAGATGCGATAATTTATCTTTCAGATTATTGGTAAACAATGATCGGCTGGAGAATAATATTCTCAATTTTGCTGCGGGGAATGTTCCTTTTAAAGAATCCGAAATTCTTCTTTTTAAGACATATGTGGCTCTATCTCCTTTGAAGTCAATGTTCATGTATAGGGTTTTCTTTTCTACTGTAATTATTTGCGTTTTTGGCGTTCTCGACCTCATGTTCTTATCAATCAATATCGAAGGATACTCGTTTTTGATAAGTATCTCTTTTAAAAAGCCCAGTTCTTCATCTAAGACTTCGGGGCTACAGATTCTTCGTATTCTTGTAGCAAGTGTTATTATTAAGTTTCTTTTTCGGAAACATCAAACTTTAACCGAACTGATTTAAGAGATTTAGTGACAAGGCTTATATATATTAAATACTTAATGTTTTTCACTACTACGTTGTTATTAATCTTGATAATTTCAAATCATTGTGATATTGTGTCATAATTTGAACCGGTTAACATGTTTTCCAGAATTTACGTTGCTTATGGCTGATCAATTAATAATTTTTCAGTGTTCCGTTCACTATAGACTATCAAAAATATGGATCAAGATAACTAACAGATCATTTCGAGTAAGATCAAGGTAAAAAAAATTGCAGACTGATCGACATTCTCTATTAGCTCGGTAATCTGTATGTTATTCAAACGTTAGTAGTTACTCATTGATAACCATTCCATTCAATTGTCATCGAACGATTAGTTTAAAACAATTGTAAATTTAATAATGGAATCATGATAAGTGAAGGTTCATTTTTTTCATCCAGTTAAATGATTGACTAATAATTAATTTACAATACTTCCTATTTTTTTTCATTGATTCCAGTGGACCTACATTATTCCAGCGGTTTTCTTATTTATTCTATTCTCCAGTATGCAAGATCCTAATGCAGCTGGAGGAAATATTGGAGGTGGTAATCAACAGTAGACGAAAACTTAATAGTTATCGATCCATGATACTGCTTAAGTATTTTGTAAATCATATTTGGTTTTAACAATACTTGTATGTTTATTTCATATGTTATTTTTCATTTTGTTAATAAAGAATCCTAATTTGGAATTTATTTCTTTTGAATGTTTACATAAAATACTTGTAATTTACTCGGTTATATTGCCGATTACTTTTGTAAATATCTTAAAACAACAGAAAATAATTTACTGTTACGTTCTGTCAGATTTAATATTTATAAATAGTTGTCGTTAAATGTTTGCTCGACAATCAGGTGTTCAAGTAGATTATGTCAAATTAACATTGATTCAACGTCTTTTAGAAATAATTATTGGTAAGACTATGATTTATGAACAACCTTAGAACGACACCTGAGTGACCCTGAGAATATCTCTCTACTTACTAGGGTTATGAATTAACATTAAGATTTACATTTGGGGATTTTCATCATAAGCTGATATAAACTATAATGCTAAATTGCTATTTAGGCAAACGGATGAACGAATTTCGCGCCAAAATCCAAGATCTTATTGGTTCGTAGGTATCATTACCAAGGTTTGATTTGATAATTTCGAATAAATTGAGCATTGGGTTGATTGTTATAAATAAATAATATATTTGTAATATCCCAATGAGTAGAAAATTAGATTTTCTGACGTTTCGTGACTTAGTGTAAGCCACTTCTTCAGAGAATAAATAAACAAATTAAAATTAATCCAAGTTTAAATAGTACAACGGAACGATACAAGAATAATATTTGATCAATCATATCTGTTTTTTGATTGATCAAATATTATTCTTGTATCGTTCCGTTGTACTATTTAAACTTGGATTAATTTTAATTTGTTTATTTATTCTCTGAAGAAGTGGCTTACACTAAGTCACGAAACGTCAGAAAATCTAATTTTCTACTCATTGGGATATTACAAATATATTATTTATTTATCTTATTGGTTCGTCCATAAATTATGGTCTCACCACTGTATCTTGCTTTAACTGTACCATTTTATTCTCCAATTTGTCTAAACTTGTTTGGTTACATCCCCTTTTTGCTCCGGCGTTTTTTAAAAGGTTGATTCACAATGTCACTTTTGGTGCTTTTAAGCTTAGTCAAAGTAGTTGTAGTGTATTGTCTGCTACGGGTTCTTGCGAAGATGAGTGAAAATAAGGTGAACACTTCGGGGACATGGTGATAACCATCTGTTTATAGACACTAATAAAACGCCCAAAACCAGTTGTGGAGGTAATGTATCCAGCAATAATTTCCTAGCGTGTCACTTAATTATAAAGAATGGATCTGGCACAGGTGTCAGTCAGTGTTTGAGGAGAATTATGAAAGGAACGCTCACGTGGTACTCGGTCACCCATCCAGCAACAGCCTAGATCGGACACTAAATATGTACACTTTAGTTGTTGGAACCGTAATAAACCTAAAGCAGCGAAAGGCAGCATAACACCATAGTGTCCAACCCACCACTCGTCCATTTATGTTTGCCTGGTATTCATCACTTGACAAGTAGAAAGAGTTATGGATAGTTCCCCCAATAATTGTGCTCGTACTAGTTACTAGCATGGATATACTGTTAGTAACCACAACACACATCTTGTAATTGAGGATACATATACATACATAAGCACAACAAACTGGAAAGCATACTTATTGTAAAAAATTTGTGAACGGTTTTCTTTCTGCTTAGTCTGTATATATGGGTTTCCAAGAGCTCCGTGAGGATTTAATTTCAGATACAACCAATCAGCAGATCAAATTTAAAACAGGCGGAAGCAGTGTAGATATTCAAGATGTTGTACGTGAGAAAAGGGTATAGTACAGACAAGTCAAAGTAGTTTGTTTAACCTTATAACTACAGAGCTCAGTCAAGTCATACAAAGTGTACATTGACTAGCGTAAAGAATATCGGTCGCAAAATGTTGTTCTTGGATTCTATCATGGAACCAACCTTGCTTATTTCTTGTAACTTAACTAGCACTAATTTGTTCGCTTTCATAATGCTGTTCATTTCTCAGTGATCAAGTTGCTAGAATTTTCGATTCATTGTTCACAACCACTAAATTTCGTTTAGAAAATTGACAGTGTGGTGCGCGCTACTTATATTGATATAAGTAGCATATGACGCGAGTTAAAGACTTAATGTCTGGCTGCAGAATATGGGGAAAGATCAAGAAAGGAAGAGCGGGAACACAATGGAATTTGTATGAAAACGCATGAACAATGAAATGTCAGACAGTCGGCTGGTGTTTGCCACAGGAACAGCCCAGTTTGATATGATGGATTGATATTTCGCAAATTAACGATTTACTATATGGTTGTTAGATTTTACTAACCAGTTCTGTAATTTATTGTCAGATACATTCGATTGTCCCCATTGGTGTTCTCGTTCACTGCAACAGGAGCTTAAACGTAATTTCCCCTAGTTTTTGCATCCTAAAACATTGTTATCTAGATTTAAAGTGACCCAAAAATATTCCTTGGGCGATCTCAAACAATAATTATCACTAAATTAAACTTGATTACGATTCGATGAGATATAGATTAGTATTTAACAATATTACCGAGTGTATATTTAGATAATTAAGCCAACTGATGTGTACAGCAATAATATACAAGATTGAATTGTAATGAGAACGGATGGATACTAGATTATATTGCAGTAATGATAGTATTTGCTTAACATTAGGATTAGACCTCATAACCGTGCTTTAATTATAATGACATGTACTACAATGACAAGCAGTGATAATGTGATGAAATCAATCTGTGAGTTCGTCCTAGTAAAGATATAATAGTATTTGTTTTCAGACAACCCCTGAAAATACAACAATACTTTGTTATTCGTGGAATTATTAGATAAATAGTCACTAAATATGTTTTATCAACGGAATATTTCATGCACGAATGAATAAATATCAGTTTATACTTCTGATTTAAGTTGAGAAGGGATAATTAAGTATTATATATACATATAAGTAGTTCAGTTAATTGGACATCAATTTGAACTGTAATAATATAATTAATTTGGAAAATGATAATTACAATGATCATATAAGTTCAATATCACATCAACCTAACTGGACTACATTTAAGGAGATATGCATGACAAGCTTATTTTGTAAATAGTTTTTGATGTTATTTGTATTTATTCTGTCAATGATTGCTGCCAGACATTCTGTTCACGACTCACGTCATATACTACTTATGTCTACATAAGTAGCACAAGACCACAGTCTTACATACTTATTGATGATTCGTAAGCGAAAATTGCCTTCCTTGAATCTGTACATACGGTTTGCTTCGTCTAGGTGGTGAAATTGTTCTTATTATGGAAGATGTGAGTGTTATTTATCTTCCATTGACTGCAATGTCTAAGAATATGATGAACTATGTAGTTTATGTTTCGTAATTGATCGAGCTTGCCTGCAAGAGTTCATCTTATGTATACCAGAAGCATATGACGACAAGGGAACCAGTGTGTCCCAATTTATACACGATCCAGGTTACATCTGCTCGCAATAGTTTTTGCTTCCAGGCAAACAAAACAGGACGCCCTCGACCAAAGTTATCCCCAAAATTTACCCAAAGCGGACTAAATTTTCCCCGAAATGAGGAAATTGGGAAGGTACGAAGCAACAATCGGTCTTACGTGTGCACTACAAGACAGAGAGAGCTTAATCAATGTTCTTCGCAATGTTTTTATGGTTTCGCTGAAGCAAAAGATCACTTAAATATGAGAACACCTGATATTCGTGCAACTCAACGGATACCCAACAAACCCACAGCATTTAAAATACAGAGTGACTGCCTCTTGTGAGGCCGTTCAAGGTCGTCGAAACGGAACGGCGGGCATCTTTGAAAGGGTCTGATGTTTTTCCCGTGCCAGACTTCTCGACACAATGTCTATTTTTAAAATGTGTCAGTGATTATTAAAATCGAATGTAAATGTGATTGTATTGACAAAGAAATGTAAAGCAAATGATCAGTTGATCTTTGATACACTTTTTCTTATATCATGGTTAACGAGCAAAGCCTTGTGTCTTTTATAGATGTTGATAAATAACTAGTGATTAGATTTGAGATATATTTCTTGATGCTTTATTAGAATTCTATAATTTGTGAAATCAGTCATTGAGAGAAATTAAATAAAGATAGAAAGAACATGAATTAATAATAATATGAATTCATTAAATATCGTGGTTTCTCATAAGCTGTTTACAACCAAATATGTATTGAAATTTTACATTGAGATAAGATATAGCGTGAAACAATTGACATAAGCGAACTCAAAGAATTAGAATGACAAAGTTTATCAATAATATATGTGCAAGAATAAGTCGGAGTTCATTTGGTGTTGGAATCAAAAAACTTCGAGGGGTTGGTTATGTAATAAGTGAGTGAACTTCAGAGACAGATAAGATCAATTGTGTGATAATTATAGAGGTAATGAAGGGTTTGCACAAGATTCCTGAAATTGAGAAACTGGTAAGACGAGTTGCTTAATACTTAAACAAGATTTGATGGGTTCAACATGATTTAGGAGGATTGTATGAGTAGAAATGGATGAGTGAAGGGGGTGATTTAAATGTTTGCGCCTCGAGGTTGATAGGTCCTGGGCTGGAATCTCGCGAGGCGGGATAGTGGATGGGTATGGATGAGGAATCTCACAATAGGACGAAACGGTCGTCCAGTGCTTCCAGGTTTTCCATGGTGGTCTAGCTTCAATTGACTCATGATCTCAACTATTGAAATTCCTAAATGACAACTTTAATTTTACGGTTGTAATTTAATAGAGAATTTTCGAAGTAAATCTTTAGATATTTCGCAAATCAGTGAGCCAGTGATCTAGTTCAGTTATTATGTCTAAGATTTAAGGTATATTTGTAATGAACTGTTTACCTAATCAGTTTCTATATTTCATCTAGTGGTCTATTGTTTAATTAACAAAAATGGGTAGCTAATAATATGCGATATAATTTATGAGTTATCAAGAATTATCGGACGTTCAACATTGACAAATAAAGACTATTCATATAACTGAAGTTGACTTGGTTACCATAATAATTTTATTCATTCATTTAATTCTGGAAGGATATGAGGA